CAAATGGTAGTAATTCATAGCAGGTGTATACCTAATTTTTTGGGACGCTGAAGCTTCACCGACTTCCTAGATTTAATACTTTGATCCCGAGGAGATCTTGCACGTTCCGCGCTGACCGGTTTAATGCGGAGGGCAAGTTCGTCTGCTTCTTGCGCAGGGGGTAGCGGTGACGTCAGAACGCCGAGCCCTGATTGGCTGATCGCGACCCCCTACCTGAGCGTCGTCTGCTTCTTTGCAACGTCGTCTGCGTCTGTCTTACCTTTCCTGCGACTTTCGGAAGTGCAGAGGCCAGATTCACGAAACGATCTTACGCCAAAAATGTGCGTAAGACAAAACTTAAGAACAAATTCGTATTCACGAAATAAAATTTTCGTAAGTTTTGCGCAGGTTACGACGAAATCCTACGACAGCTCCGAAGCTGTCTGACGCCCTTCTTACGATCAGATCAGCATGGCCGACAACGTCGCGGTAGCGACGACCCACGGACGTTTATTTTTCTACGTCCACTTCTTACGCGTCCCGACTTCAAGCAGCAAGAAAAAAGTAAAAAGTACTTGAAACAGACCACGACGAATGAGAACGCTGGATCCACAAACACCCGGGAAAAACTCCAACGGCCACGATTCCTCCGAACGCGACCAAGCGAGCTCCGTAGTTAGGTCTAGCAAGCACTCCGCGACTCGGCGACCGTCTGCCCACAACCGGCTAGCGTGCTGAATGGGATATGCCCGCCCGACCCTTGTGAACCCTTCCCGTATTATACTTTGATCGCTGACCTCAATTTGAGATTAAGAGGTCAATTTCTTCCTCTCGTTATCTCCTTGTTTCCCGAGGCAACGGTGACTCTCGCCGGTGAAAAAGCGGTGAATCTCCGACACACGCTGGAAAGGTAAAGCAGCCATCGCTTTCACTAGCACACGACGTTAACTGCGCCAACCCGCCGACGCCGTTGAAAAATGAGGGGTCTCGCCGCACACGAAAGGAGGGAAAAAGTATTCGGGAGGGAACTTGCGGACACGCTCACTTTCGGTTCTTAGCAAACAAACTTCGGAACACCTCGCCAGTGAGTCCTTTGACTTCCCTCCTTGATGCGCGTCTGCTAGTTGTTAGACAAAAACAATGTACCGCTCGAGTTATTTCGTCTGCCCTCTCTGAAAGGCGAAGTCAAGCTCGCTCGCTCGTAAAGACCTGCACTTCCGAAAGTCACAGGAAGGGTAAGACAGACGCAGACGATGTTGCGAGCAGACGACGTTGCAAAGGAGCAGACGACACTGAGATAGGGAGTCGTGATCAGCCAATCGGGGCTCGGCATTTTGACGTCACCGCTACTTCCTTTCTCATGCGCAGAAGACGAAAATGAGCCCACTTGCGAGGCGTATAAGCAGGGATTTAGTTGAGACGACTTTGGAAGTCGTCTCAGGAAAGAGCAAAGACGGTTTTGCTCTTTCCTGCCAGTTATTTTGAGGAACTGTTTGTTTACTGGTTTACAAAATTATGAAATGAATCACCTTGAAACTAATAAAGAGACCGGCAGTCACAAAACACATTGGAGCCAGCAGGATACACGGAGTCGCTTTCACTGAAGTGCTTACTACACATGCGAAAGGTTGTCGAATTTTGCTTTCCTATAAAAAAATATTTGTTTCCTAGCCACATCTTCCTTTATGTGTTACAAAATGGTTGGTTGGGCTAGTTGGTTCATTATGCACTAAAAGGACCAGAAGATGGCACTAGATTAAAGACTTTCACCCTGTTCTTTAGTCTGAATTACATGTTTGTCATTCTAATTTAAATTAGTAAAAAAATAAGGGGCCCCAAAGCTCGGGGGCCCCTAACAAATGGGGGCTCACACCACTGCACGTATGCCAAACCCAAATCTCCGTTGTGGGTTGGCGCTCACCTCTAATGCAAAATTGGAGAAATAGCGTGGGGCCGGGTTGCGTCGCCTTCCCGCTCGCTTGGGAGCTGTCATGGTCGCTGCTGTTTTAGCCACGTTCATTGCCAGTGAATGGTACAGCCGGCTTTCGCTTGGCTTTTATCTTGCTCAAGTCACAAAGCATGAGCTGAGTTGGGCCCATTTTAAAGATTGTCTTTTGACTCTGACAACGTCTCTCTACTCAAAGACTCCGGGTCGATTTTCTCGACTCGTTCGGCCGAGCGTTTGTGTCAAGATAGCTTAAAAACAAGTCTTCCAAGTCGCTCTGGCTCAGATCTAAATAAAGCAGCTGCTCGCAGAGTATGTTCACCCGCCTTCTCAGTTTCGACATAGTTGAAGGCCTAAATCTTCGGTGACAGACGGTCGTTGTGGCACACAAACGCAAAAACATTCCGAGAACGGGTGGCAGATTAGAGCGCTATGATTGGATTGTCTTGGCTGAAAACAGCTAACAATATTTATACTGATTTTAGATTGTCTTTTAAGTCAGGTGGATTTGATTTTAGCCTTACTACTATTTGTAAACAAAAAGTACTTGTTAAACGCATATGTCTTACATTTTATAAAATTTTTTTTATTTTTTGAATATTACGTTGGTTAGCCAAATTTGCGCTCCAAGGGGAAACCCTATTGTATAAGCCGGCGGCAGCCTTGTTTGCATTTGGGTTCCTCAATTCCTTAGGGGCATTCAAATGTTGGGGCCCCCCATTCTAAAACACTCTAATTCTAGCTTTCTAGTGAACTTTTGTTAAGACGCTTATTTGGCTAGTGACAGGAAGTAGGGGAATGCGGGCAGAACTGCTTGCAGTGATGTGATTGCTGCGCCAATTGCGCCAAGGGGCTAACCCTGCTACATTTTGCCAAAATATAGGTAATCTGCGCCAAGCCTTCGCCAAAGAACCAGTTTAGGTCGCCTTTCAAAACCAAAACTAAACTGAGTACTGTAATTGAGCAGGCGTGTGTTTTGTGGCGCAAGCGGCCGCCTGACACAAAGTACCATGCATCAATTGTCCCCTCAGTCTGGCATGGTTTTTCTGGCGTTTCGCGCTCCCGTCTTGTGGGTCTCGTCTCTCGTCGCTTTTTTTTTAAATATTTTCAGCGATAGATGCGGATGTGTGCAGACGCTCCGGCACTAGCGTGCCGGGTACCAGCCATGCCGTCATGCTGTGAAACGAAGCCACATTTTTGCGCTGCGGGAGTTACTATGTGAGCTGAAGTAACAGCCGTGGGAAAACTATATTTGGTCACTGCCTTTTAGTCACCGTGGTCGCGTGACGTCGAATGTTGCCGTCCCCACATCACTGCAGATATGGTACTTTCTAAACTCTAACGTAAGGATTGCCGCATGGTCAACATTCCTCTTCTTCTTTAAATTATACCTTACTACAAAAATTCATTTTTAATTCAAAGACTGCTCTGTCAAAGTATTGATTATCTAGATTCCTCTCGGTGGGCCTTCTTTTGAGAGGGACCTTGGTACGTGATAAATCTACCGTGAAAGAAAGTTGGTGAAGGCAAGTGAGCTAAAGCAAAGAAACAATGTCTGCACGTTGAACCCGTATAGCACGCTTGTGTTTGTCTCGAGTTCAGTCGTTGCACAAAGCGCTCCAAGAATGTTTTGAGGCTGGCTCTCAATGTCTTGCATCAATGCACTCAGGTTCTTTATTTTTTGTTTGTTTAGCTTGTACCTTGTTTGCTGGCCTGGCAAGCAAGCGCCACTGGACTGTTTTTGTCGCATGCTCGAAAGTTACATTTTGTGTACAATTTCGGGGATAAGTTAGCAATGGAACTGAAGGGCATGGTTTCGGTTTCGATTGGACAGCCGTTGTCTGCGCTCGCGCGACGAAGCATGCCCAACAGCAAGCCTGCTGAAGTTTGCCTCACATGCATGCGAACATGATTGCGTGACTGAGGCACCAGCGGGGACGCTTGCAGTTCATTGTTTTACGTTTGCTTACTTTTGACGAAAATCTGGCACGTTGGGAACCAGTAAAACGGTGGCAAGCGGTTTTTCGAAATTGCTTGGCTATGCCTACAGCACTGTACACTTATGGGATGTCTGAGCAGTAAAAACAGAAGCAGCGAGTTCCGTCACAACATGTCACATAAGAACACAACACAACACAAAGTGCCCTTCGGTTGTACAGCACTTAAAACAAATATTTTTATTTTCCTAAGAATATCTGCTCTAAAATCCACTTTTGCTGCTCCGAAACACTGTTTTGGCTGCTTAAAAAGCCGCATTTGCTGCTCCAAAACACTGTTTTGGTTGCTCGGGAACGTGCGCCAAAATGGCTTAGGCCAATCACATGACTGTGCTTGCAAATGGATCATATGTTGTGCGGCGGGTTGCCTCGTGCAGAGCGACTTCCTCGGAAGGCGATGTCAATTTGCTCTGTCGTGGACACTTTAAGCCTTTCTGGCGGATGGAAAAGCGTTTCCTGCAATTTCAGGTTACTGACAACAATGATTTTGAGCAACAAGATTGCTGAAGGGTTCTGAAATGTAGCTAATTTAGTGGCTCCAGTTCCATTCATCTTGATTGAAACACATTTGGCTCGTTCGATTTACCCGAAGGAAAGCGCAGGCCCAGATTGTCAATCCTGTCTCCCACTGGGTTCAGTGTTGGACTAACTCTCGCGAGGTTAGAATGAAAATTGACCATTCCCTCGCCGGGCGTTTTAGGCTTTTTGCCCGATCCCCCAAAAGTCATCCCGGCGACATCCCACGCTGCTTGGTGATAGCTACAAAAGTGCAGAGGGGAAGGAGAAGGGGCTTAAAAGGGCGAGGGAAGGAGTTATACTTTTGTTTTTGTTGGTTTCTAGTCAAGATAGCATGAGCTACCATTTGTCATAGAGGGCACAGCTGTTAGTATGCAGCCATCCATTTGGGGCAGGGTACTTCTGGTCTCGTTTTAACGCGGCAGTCTGCACCGAGTGCGTCCGACGTGGGTAAATGGAGCGAGCCGAGTGGAAGTGGACGTCCTGTGCGTGTTTTGGGCCGTCGGTTGTGGTGGGGTGCCTGGCCCGAGCGTGGAAGAAGCGTGCATGGCCGTCTCTCGCAGAAGCGCCTGCAGAAGGAGCTGCTGGCCATGCAGAAGGAGCCACCGCCGGGCGTCAGCATCGACCCCAACAACGTGGGACCCAACCTCACCCAGTGCGTACACACCCATCGCCCCCCCTCCTCGGAGTTAAAGGAAACCCCAAAAATGCTTCTTTTTTTTTTTTTTTTAAGAAATGTTGCATCTAAGCAGAGGAGGATTCCATCAAGTTTTGAACAGCAGATTCAAAACAATAGACCGATCTCACTAACTGGTCAGCGCACGCGTGACGCCGCCATAACTTTAGTTCTCATAAGGCAGACGGCCATGCACGCGAGTGCTCGTGCCTTCTCGTGCTTTACACGCGTAGTGCTCCAGTGAGGCTGTCGCACGTGCAAAAAGACTAAAGTTTCCTCGATGCATTGCGGCAGCGGGGGCGTAGTCAAACTGGCTGGTGAGATCGGTCTATTAACGTTCGTAGCAAGCACGCAGTCGGAGGACAGTAAATTTCATTCGCCGATTGTCCGCACAAAAAATGAGTATGTAAAGTCATTAAGTTTAGGAGCACACTGTCGGATACTTTTCGGGTGGTTCTGTCTCGCCGAGGACCGGGGAGGTGGCAAGACGTTTGGGTCCTTCCCCAAACCGGATTCATTATCGATGATTTTATAAAAGAAACTTAACCTCGCAGACTTCCGTCTATAGCCAGTAACAGGTCAAGAAGGAAGTGGAAGCTCCTCCCACCCCTTTCCACTTCAGCGGAGCGGACGGTGGAGTGGAGGTCGCCTCCACTCGGGCATTCGCTGCGCTGAAATGGAAAGGGGTGGGAGGAGCTTCCACTTCCTTCTTGACCTGTCACCGGCTATAGCCTCGAGCGATTCCAGGGCACATTTGGGTATCATGGTGGAGAGAAGAGACTAAAACCCGAAAAATCTTGATACCATGGTAGTATGACCGAAAACGGGGGGGAGGGGAGGGAGGGACGCGCTTGGGGGGGGGGTCGCACCCCCAGTGGCTAAGTAGAGATTTGAGCCCGTGACAGAAATTATTTGTTAGTGTTTTTGACGCGGCATTTGGCTGGGGCTTGTGTTCAGTCGGTGAAGCCGCAGTTTGTCCAGTTAAGGCTATGCCCAGACTTGCTTCCGGCCGTATCCAACATTGTCAGCACTTATCGTATATCTCGTCTTTTTAAAGCGATTAGCTTTCTTGGGATCTTTTGGGCCACTTCGAGGCATGTTTCTGTGTTTCATATTTCCCACTGAATTTAGCGGGGAAAATGACGTCGCGCGACTCGATGTCGCCTGACATACCGTTTCCCCGCTAGATTTAGTGGGAAAATTGATATCTTGCGACCTGAACGCCAATTCAGTTTCCCCTCTAAATTTAGCGGAAAAAATGACACCGCGTGGCTCGACATAAATTGACCTACTCACAAAGTGAGTGTACCTGCTAAATTTATCGGGAAAATTGATGCGTGACTGGCCGGGGCTCTTTGTTATGTGTGCAGCTAATCCCTTAATTAGGCAACAACGTAGTTGGCCCTGCTAAATTTATCGGGAAAATTGATGCGTGACTGGCCGGGGCTCTTTGTTATGTGTGCAGCTAATCCCTTAATTAGGCAACAACGTAGTTGGCCCTGCTTGAGTTTTTGATGATTATTTTTTTAGCGTCGGTAGTAGGGAGCGTCAGTATCAATAAAAACCTATATAACGGCACAATGTGTTTTGACGTCAGGCTGTCCTTCATTCACAGTTGGCTGGCAAATCCCCAGCAACGCTCGTTACTGGAAAAAGGTTCATTGAGACCCAGCTAAGTGCCGACGCGGCATTCTATGCGCCACGCTCAATCGAGGAAGATGACGTAAAGAATATGGGCCTTGCTGGACCTTAGCGCACAACAGTCGCACCTCCGGTGATGCGATTGCTGCGCCATTTGCGCAAGCTGCGCCGAAGCACTTACCCGCTACATCCTGCTGCATTTAGCCCAAATGTGAGGAATTTGCGCCAACGTTGCGCCGAAACCTATTTTCGCTTTATTAATACCGAAAATATACTAAATGAAGCCCCGCCCATGGCCGAATTGTTACGGTAGGTCCGTGCAAATTTCCAGAACTTTTGGTTATCGCCTTAAATTAGGTTATATTGGATTTGATCTGTGTGTCAAACATTGAGAGTGCTCTGAAGTTTAGCAATATACTCGCGCTCGCTGTCTGTTCTGGAGAGCTAGCATCTTTGAGTGCGCTCTGCTCTGCGCTGTGGTGTGGAGCAGTGCGACCACGTAGTAGGCGTTGCATATCTCGGTTCAACGCACGCTAAAAGGAAAGCACCCCTCCAGACCGGGACAATATGTAGGGTTTCGGAATAAAACTACGGCTAGTATATATGAGAGACTGCGATATTCTGTCTATACATTTTTCACATTTGAGACTCGTCGAGGACACTCGAGTATTGCGAGAAAACTTTTATGGACTGCTTTATTTCTTAAGTCAACTCTCCTTTAGGGTGATTCCACGTCAGTTCATGCAATGATGGTCCGGGTCATAATTTTGATATTTTTGTTAAAAATATATATGAAAGCCATGTTCTCGGGATGAACATTAAGCTATATTTGAACGCCGTAACAAATTTTTTCGCTGAGATATAAAGTAGAGAAGCTCGTGGCGTGGAAATCGAGGAGATTTCACTATGCTACTTTGCGCAGTCGTCATTTTTTCATCAAAGCTTTCACGTCACCATAACTTTTTTAATAAATTTCACAAGAGATATACAACACATACCCAAAAAAGTAAAAATATTAATAACATATTTCTATGCAAACAAAAAAGTCAAACATGGCATAAAAACACGTTTTAGAGACATTCACAATTTTTTTGCAAATAAACCATTTGTCATAATACTTCACAAAACATATCAAAATGCGCGCCTATAAATATTCTTTACGAATGTATAGAGATAATATGCCTACCCTTAATTGTCTTCTTGTTATTAATGCGGAAATGCAGCTGATTTCTCGAAATGTGGCAAGATTGAGCGTCAATATTTCAAAAACTCCATCTTTTATTTTTTTTAACTTTCCTTGGCACTTTGCAGTGACTTGAACTAACTTGTGATGGCAAAACATTGAGTAACATATGACCTCCAAACGGGAAAAGCTACGACACACCTTCACTCGGAGCGAGCCGACGTCTTCGTCATAGCGGCTTTGCCGCACAGCACCAAATATTTTGAGCGTTAGTTATGGCATGTATTTTATATTTTTCAAATTCTTTTTTTTCAGAAGGCGTTAGTATAACTGACACGAAATGGTACCTTAGGCTGGAATACCATTACTTGCAATTCACAAAAACAAAACGGCCCCACTCTGCAAATTCGCTAACTATGCATACCTAAGCTTAAAACTCTCAGTTGCGCAAGTGGCCATGTATACATCCGGCCTCTCGGCCTATGATGACTTCCACAGATGAGATGCCTGGATTCCTCTGACAGGTTTTACGGTGGCCCTCTCTACTTGCTGCATTGCACGAAACTCTCGAACACGTTCCGCAGACAGGTGTAACATGCAGACATTTGTTACTTTTTCACGCAGCACTTCCACAAAGTCTTTAGCGGTGACAATCGTTGAGTTGAGCGAAGATCTCAAGTTGGTGTGCGTTGTGTGGTGTTTAAGAACACCACCTACTCCATCACAAGCGCTTTTTCCGTGTCCAGTGGCTGAAAAGGTCCATCTTGCCAAAGAGTATGGCTTCTGAGATAATTCGTGCAATTGGACGCGATTCTTGAATTATTTCAGAAAAGAGCGGGTAATGTTCATCAACATACTCTTCTATGGCTTTTGTGGCTAGAAGAGCGTGAGCTGTGTCATGTGTCGTGACATCGCTGACAACGGCAAGGCTTTCTGTGCCTTGCGTGGACGTAACCACATATGTGAAGAGAGACACTTGAGTTTTTTTCCAATGAAAACTCTGCACTTCGGTTGGAAAGAGTACTGTCCATTTTTCCGCAAAATCGAAGTGGAACATCACTGCCTTGGGTGGTAAGGCGGTTCTTCTGTCACGTATCAGGCTTCGTTGAAGGTCACGGATGTAAGAATGCCTCATATACTTTTCGCTCCATGACTCCAGTTCCTTTAGGAAGGCGGAAGTGTCCATAACCTTTTTGACGAGTTCGCCGGCGTCCCATAACGCGTAACAGATCTCTTCGTCTTCGTCGAGATGGAGCGACTACAGCGAGATGCTCTGCATTTTTAGGCACTTTTCGCAACGGCGCAGGAAGCAATCGTTTCATGGAGCGCTGCAGAGGTGGATGCGCTTGAAGTCGTCTTCAGTAAATGTCTCCTGTGAGGCATTTGTTATTGCCGTTAAAAGCAACTGAAAATTGACGCAATATATGCAAGCGCACACCTCATGCTCGGGACTCTTTTTTACCCATTTCGGTCGTAGGGAATAGAACATAGAGATGCCTAGTTCTCCATGGGGATGGTCCTTCCTAAACAGCTGGTAAACTCCCTTAATAGAGCGGGTCATAAACCTTTTTACGACTTTGGTCTTGTTGTCGTTGATCATGGCTTTGACGACGTCCTTTTTGTTGGGGCTTTGAATAGAGCATGCGAGGTCGTCGTGTGTGTAGTACTCAAGTGCGACTCTCACGTTTTCGGCATTCGCCTTTTTCCCCATGTAGGGCTCAGGGGTTGCCCATACACCACCTTTACGCTTCAGTTTTCTTGTTTGATCAATCATGTAGGCAGTCGCTTCTGGCACCAGACGCAATATTTCTTTCTTTGAGATGCTTGGTGGCAGAAGCGTGTACAATCGCTTGCGTTCCTGGTGGGAACTGCATGCCTTCAGCGCTTTGCGGAACGCGTCAAACCACTCCGCCCAGTGCTCACAACTGTCTTCGCCGGTTTTCATGCCATAAATGCCTGACAGCTTTCTTCTAATCGAAGAACTCACTTGAGCTTGTTTTTTCTTCAAATATGCTTCGCGCTTTTTTTTTAATGGTTTCACGTGGTTTCAATGGAGTTACCGACGGACTAGCAGCACACAATTCTTGACTCACTTCAGCCAGAACTTCATCAGAGTCCCGGAAAGAAGAGTCTGATGTACTCACGTTGTGAGGAGAAGCAATCTCATTCTGGAGGTATTTGTAGCAATGTTGGCATAAAAGGTCAGATTCGTTCACTGTCCGTGGAGCCAGTAGCTTTTCCAACCGCACTTTGATGAGTCTCCCTACCGAGACGAGGTGCTTATCGCTATACACTTTCTCCTTGTGTCTCCGTAGATAGTCCACACAGGAAAATCGCGCGGTGCTGAATCGTTGGGCCATGGCTGTTCGATTTGACACTAGACTCTTACTCGCTTCATAAATGACAGAACTTCAAACGTCCTCGCAAACGCCTATTTGAGAGGTTCTGAATTCCTCTCTCCCGGCTCCGAATATCCGGTCAGAGTTCGGAAAGAAAATGTCCTTGTGGTTATCAACTTCTGTCTTCCATTGTAGATATAATCGGTGTGTCGCGCATTGTTAAGCTGGTGTTGTTTGTTTTCAGTACCACTTATTGAGCACCAAAGACACCGAGTCTCCTGTAAGCATAGCGATAGACAGCCGTCTTTTTTTTTTTTTTACCTTCTAAAAGTTTTTTATATTGTAATGTTTTTGGGGTTTTCGGTGTTGGAGTGTAGTTGTGTGTGTGTGTGTGTGTGTGTGTGTGTGTGTGTGTGTGTGTGTGTGTGTGTCTGTGTGTGTGTGTGGGGGGGGGGGGGGGGGGGGATGTTTCCTGACCAACTGACATGCATATTTTCCCTTACAACTACTCTCGCCTTATTTTTCCGTAACTGACTCTTCACAGCTTTGGGTTTCAAGGCAATGTGATGTGCTTACGATTACTAACTACCGCAAACAGTGGCGTTCACAGGCGTTCCTTGCTCGTGTTAAGGGGCGGGAAGAAGAGGGCAGGGCGAGGGAAGGGGGGGGGGGGGGCGGGGGTATAGTCACACAACGATAAAGCAATGCTCGGAACAGCACGACTTTCCGCTCTCTACGACAGAGTCTTGCTTTCCAGCTTTTGACGCTTCCATGAAGGGGACTTTATGCGGCAAAGCCGCTATAACAAGACGACGGCTCGCTCCGAGTGAAAGTTTGTCGCAGCTTTTCCCGTTCGGAGTTCATATGTTACTCAATGTTTTGGCATCACAGGTTAGTTCATGTCACTGCAAACTGCCAAGGGGAGTTTAAAAAAAATAAAAGATGGAGTTTTTTAAATATCGACGTCCAATCTTGACACATTTTGTGAAATCAGCCGCATTTCCGCGTTAATAACAAGAAGACAATTAAGGGTGGGCATATTATCTTTATATATTCGTAAAGATAATTCCAAGGCGCACATTTTGATATGTTTTGTGTAGTATTATAGAAGATAGTTTATTTGCAAAAACATTGTGAATATGTCTTTAAAACATGTTTTTATACCATGTTTGACTTTTTTGCTTGCGTAGAAATATGTTATTGATATTTTTACTTTTTTGGGTATGTGTTGTATATCTCCTGTGAAATTTATTAAAAAAGTTATGGTAATGTGAAAGCTTTGATGAGAAAATGACGACTTTGCAAAGTAGCATAGTGAAATCTTCTCAATTTCTACGACTCGAGCTTCTCTATTTTATATCTCAGCGAAAAAAAACGTTACAGCGTTCATATATAGCGGAATGTTCCTCCCAAGAACATGGCTTTCATATATATTTTTAACAAAAATATCAAAATTATGACCCGGACCACCATTGCATGAACTGACGTGGAATCACCCTTTAGTTATTACCTTTATGTGGGTTCCATCCGTTCGATGGCACAGTGACTACGGTAAATTAAAACGGAATTGGTTGGAGCAGTAAATGCGTGTTTGGGAATAAGGTGAACAAGTTCAGCAAGATAGTTTTTTTTTTGTTTTTTTTTAAGAAAGCATATTGTTCACATTCCTGTCTTGTTACCGTTCCTCGTGCTTCTACTCGCAGTTAAGCCGCTAGCCAGGGAATTAAACCTGCCACGCTGTTGCCCAGAAGCAGGAAGGCAGTTTATATAAACGCATAAATCTTAACACAATATTCGACTTAGCATGAATGAGAATGACACGTGTGCCTATGCGCTGAACGGTGCTGCAAAATGGCTCTGGCCAATCGCATCACTGCACCTGCTATAGTTCGATCGTCAGTAAATGAGGTGGGAAGCAACCCCCGCGCTGCAATTTTCTTTGGGTAAACTTCCATGGCTGTGGAAGACTACCGTATTTATTCGGACACGGATAGAAGTATTCTTGTCTCGGGAACTCTCTTCAAACGATGGGATCTCTGATCGTAACCTGAGCCCATGGAGCTAACCGGTCGGCTGCTGCTCTTTGTACGCCAGTTCAAAGCTGGGAAAAGCGTGTCGCACGGGGTGCACAATGACAAACTCTGCGCGAAACGAAGGGGCTGGGGATGGCCGACCACTGCAGGAGCACTCCCACATCGGAGAAAAGAATGGAAAGATAAATGAGCTGTTGCGGAAACTCTTCCGAGCCTAGTTGAATTTGGACGCCACGGTCGGCGAGGCGAGTGAGGTAAACTGGAAATTAATACTCGTATCCCTACGGGTGTTGAATGGGACCGGCGCTCGTGTTCGTATTAACCTAGAATTTATCGGCTAGGTTCCGCTACATGTTGGCGAGGTGTGCTCTTGCCTCACTGGCCTTGTCTCGACAACTTTTCAGTTCTTCTAGTCAATGCTCGCAAGTGCATTGCCACGATCAGTCGGGAGCTCGCGTAATTTCATTCTTCCGCGCTTGGCGCCACTCGGTGCCACTCAGTGCCACTGTTTTCCCACAGCTCAGTTGCTAGCGTAGGGAGAAGCACTCGTCACGGGCCAGTGGGCACGCTCGGATGTTTTGAGGCAAAGGAATTCCGCCATGTTTGTGTGTGTGCGCTGACTCTGTCTCGCGGCTGGACGCAAAAAATAAAAGTGCAGCTATTGTACTGTCAAGCAGAGAACACTGTTGTGTTTGAACGTGCCACGGTGCTTTCCTTGCACCGACGCGACATTGACGCGCACCACCTGCCCATTTAGTCGTGGAAAATGATTTCCTTTCCCATTTTTTGAAAAGCCAGGGTCGTAAAAGTTGCTTTAAAAACGTACCCACACTGCGGTTCCAGTTAGCCGCCCTAGACTCTATTTTACGGTCTAGGACTATGTAAGCTGAAACATCCGGGCGATAACTGAGAAACATCTTGTCTTGGGACACAGTCACTAGCCTATCTTGGTTGTCGCTTGGTAGTTTCAGCTTATGTCCTTTTAGACTATACCTGACGTACATATTTAAATACTGTTTCGGAGTTTACCTAACGATGCAGTTAAAAAATATTTTTCTCCTTAACTATTATTTTTATATTTTTCCTCTTAGCATCTTTTTTATCTAACGATGTGCTTTAAGGATAGTAAAAAAAAGTAGATGCGCAGAGTTTTTTTGTTTTTTTTAATACGAGGCAGAACACAATGCGAACATGCTTATAGTTCCTTAAAGATCAACAAATAGCAGCACATCCTGAGATGGCATTTAGACAGGAACTTTTGAATGTGTGACCGCTGCCATACATGGCAGCGGTCACACATTACTGCTTTGACGGCAAGACCGTCAAAGCAGTAATGTGCTACGTTATATCGACCCTTATACGTCCCTTAGATGGTATCAATTCTTATGTCTTTTAGATGTTATCAGTTCTTATATGTCCCTTAGATGTCATATCAGCAACATATTGATTGTCACCCTCTACCTTGCTTGGAATGAAACACTCATATTGTGGAGGCACAAGCCCTTTTTCAGTCTGCTGAGGATCACAGGAAGGTGCCTCGAGGGAATAAAACTGTTGTAATTACGGGTTACTAGAAATTGTGTGTCAACTACACTGGCTGGGAAATAAGAGTAGCTAGACTGAGGTTGACGGGCGCGCGTTAGGGGGAGGCATGGAGTGAAGACTAGCTGGGCCTGGTGGCTGACAGCTGCCCGACTGATTTGTGCAGGTGGGTGGTGGACATGGACGGGGCAACAGGCACTCTGTACGAGGGAGAGAAGTTCCAGCTCCTGTTCAAGTTTAGCTCCAAGTACCCCTTCGATTCACCCGAGGTGAGACTGCGGCGCCGGGCGGCCATCGTTTGGAAGGCCGACTCGGACGTCTGCATTCGCCCGCTCAGGCCCGGAGCCCCATTTATGACAGCACCTTTAGCCGCAGTTCTGTCATCCTTTACCGCAGTTACACCTCACCACCGTCACCACACTGTTCTTTCGGACAGCGGTTTCAGAAGTGATGAGTGCGCAGCTATGATTGGCACTCAAGATGTGCAAGCATACGTAGTCCCATAGCTTCGACCGCGTAGCCGCAGAAAGTTGTCCGAGATTATATAGTGGTAGCTGTGGTGAAGCGTAACTGCACTTAGGTGTCGCATAACTGTGGTTAAACGGGTACTCCAGCACTTCCTTCGTGGTCCCCAAATTGCCTCTAAATTAACCAAATGGACCAACAAACATTGCTGAACCCCAAATATTAGACCAAAATAGGTTTTTTTGCAAAAATTTCGCTCAGTGTTTTTTTAAACAAAGTCTCTCTACTGACAACAGTAGAAATGTGACTCAGGCAAGAAGGCGTCGGAATACACCGAATGATGGAGTACAGTTGACGTGGCTGGTCGTCATTTGAGAGCAGACTTTGAGCTACCACTTCAAAAGAGCCGACCGACTAATATAGAGTGCAGGGGTGTGCCGCTTTTTGATGCCACTTCTAGCGATGCTGAATTTTGGTGAAGGTCATTTTTGTGACATATTGAAAGTATCGAAAATTTACTTTGGAGAAGAAAAAAAAAAGGAATGAATGAAAGATGATGTAGTCTTAAAAGATTGTAGCAGATAGTAAGGTTGAACTGCGTGTGCGGCGCAAAAGACGCTTACATTAAAAGCTTTGATTGCAATGATGGGCCACCGCATTCTTGGTGTGCCAGAGTGGGTCATAAGTTCTCTAACCCAACGTCTCCTGGTTGCCAGACTCTCGGTAAGTTTGAAGGAATGCTCTCCCTGTTTAGGGACGAGACACTGGCGCCACCTTACAGCACATCCGACCTGAATATAACTAAACTGAGGTGTTTTGATTTTATGAATTGACTTAGAACGCTTCTTTTTTATGCCCCTGGCTGTTGGTAGACTGTTTGTTCTTTGAAACAAGATTAAATTTTCATGCACGTTGCTTTATCTAAATGTAATGTTTCCCTGCCAAAGCATTCAGGAGCTCATGGGCGAACTCGTGCAGTTTTCAGTAGGCTGCATGTGCATTTCGATTTACCACATTTGCACGTCATCAACCGCACATTGAATTCTAAGCATAGTTTCCCGTATTTCTCGGTAAAATCGAGACTGACGGGAGCATACGTTGGCAGAACCTTTGGAAAATGTCTCTGCCGCATGTAATGAACCTGCGTACGTGCTTGAAGGTTCAGATTTTTATTCCTCCAAGTCTGCTTCACACAATAGGAAAGTCGTGGCTGATGAGCTGACAAATATAATCGTGTTATCTCTTGATGTGCTGCTAAATCTACGACCAGCCCTTTGATGTCCTGCCCTTGAATCGTTGAAAGCTTCCAACGAATGTTTGTGGGAAAATGGAGGCCACACCGTAGAACGACAGCCGTCCCACCGACAATGTTTCTCGCAGAAGGGTCAAGTGCACCCTTTTTGTTCTCTTTGCACTCAAGCGTCACCAGGTTTCGACAACAAAACACATCAGTGAACCTGTGGCACCACGGATGTTTTCGTCACTGAACAGAAAGCAGTATGCGCCATGCTAGCGGGACGGGGCCACAAGCCACACGACGGGCATTGCGCTATATCCGAGCATAAACATAATTTCCAGCCATTAGTCGGACATCCTATCCCAAAGCGCGGGTCGTTGGAGACAACACTGGGTGGCATCCTTCCTCGTGGTTGCCAGTTGTTTGTGCGCTGCGGCCGGGGTTTTAATTGGTCTCGCCCTGGGACTCGGGTGCCAGCATTGCAGGAGGTGCCTTAGTATGTGCAGGCACGCTGAGAGAACCTTGGCTCACATTGTCTCGCTTGTGAGCCAAGAGCACTTGGATAGAATTTTAGTCTGGGATCCCTATTGCCATCGTGCTAATTGTAACCATCTTGGTGGCGGACAAAGGAAGAACTTGGGCGTGCGCCGGAGCGAATAATGCCGAGCCTGTGCATTCTAGAGCTTGGCATAATGCAACGCGCGAATTACGCGTTTCCGATTCTCTTCCGGTCATTTGCTTTGCACACTCGGCCCACAAGCCACTCAATGGGGCGAGTTTTATGGAGTACTCCGGTCAGTTCGGAGTTTGTACGGAAGTAGGGGTTTTTTCGACACCGTCGAAACTTTAATGAATCGAGAAAGAACCGTAGGTATTCCCGTCTACCGTCAACGTACAAAAGTGACGGTGGCCGATGAAATACTACTCGGGTGCAGTTTATTATTCCTCGAATGTGCTACTCTGGCGCGCCGACGGTGGGCGTACCAAAGGTAGACGGACGTGGGATCCAGTGGACGGGCGGGGGCAGAATTTCTCAAAGGGGCCTTTCCGCCAGGTGACTTTCCTGGGGCCCAACATCCCGGTGCACCCACACATCTACAGCAACGGCCACATCTGCCTGTCCATCCTGACGGACGACTGGTCCCCCGCCCTGTCGGTGCAGTCCGTCTGCCTCAGCATTGTGTCCATGCTGTCCAGCTGCAAGGAGAAGGTCAGACGCCACCCAGACACCTCTACGACCTGCCTTAGCGTATCACATCCAAAGGGGTCTCGAAGCGGTGACGGATTACGCTCTCCGGGGTTCGCATTCTGGGCGGTCGGTCGTCCGGCAGAAAGAGCGAGCCTTGCTGTCGTCGCGGCCTCCTGGTTGCCCAAGCTTGGGTAGTGTGCCCAAATGCAGCCCATGGCAGAACAGCTCTGGGATGCGGCCGACACCGTACCGCCGTCAAGACTGCGGCAGGCAGTCGTTCGGGAATCGAGGGACCACGTTAGAGAAACACATCAGTCCGAGATGTGTTGTGCGCGCCCTAGTTTCCGTCGGCGTAGTCCACCTTTTTCCAAATGTGGGGACGTTCCGCATGGAGTGGGTAGAAGACGGGCTTGTCCAACCTATTTGAGTATACTCGTAGCCAGGATTTCTAGTCTCAAATCTTCGGGATGAGCAGATCTGGTTTGCATTACCGAGTCGTCATCCCCCGAGCCGTGCGTACCCTACATTGCTACGGCGTGAGTCCACGTCACTCGCCCTGCGAGAAATGGTAGCCGACATTGAAAATTAACCATAGCTAGTATTTAGTGACGAAAATTAAAATGAACCATAAGTAGTATTTAGTGACGAAAATTAAATTATAAATCGTTCGATTAAAAAATATAGACTCACGAAGTGACGATGCCTGGATTGTTTTTGCTTCGTTCCTTCCACGCAATCAAATTCCTTTCTCCTTTTCTTCTCATCAATATACCACAATATCCTGAGACGTGCCCCACCCCTGAGAGGTAAGCCACCCTTATTTTTGGCAGGATTTGCTATTTTTTCAATAACACCAAAAGATAGCCCACTTCCAGCCATTGCAGGGCCCTGGCCAATGGTGACCTCGGCAGCAATGGCGTTACTTGGCCACGACGGGAGATAAACCAACATTACTGACTGGAAAGGACAGTAGTCTTTGGTTCATTGGCCCTCCCTGCAATCGCAATCCTTTTCAGGTCACAAAATCTAAAATAAGCATTTCTTAAACTTTCTTCAGTCGCACATCGAAAGTTAGCCCACTTGATGTTTTCACCCTTTAGGAGGGCCATCTCGGGATATCGTGGTACTTGCGTGTTGCGTCATGTTAACATTTGAGGAGGCTGAACGGCTCGGTTGAAAACGAATTTCCCCACGCCAAACAAGAAAGCTCTTTCCCGCAGAAAGGGCTAGGTAAACGAGGCGCATGCACGACGTTCAAGATGGCAGATCCGTTTTGGTTGCTTGCAATCTCAAGCCCGGGAGCATCGAGCGTTGTGCGCTTGTGCACTGCACATTTCGGAAAAAGGTGAATTACCGCTATCAATGCTGGATGCTGGGCTAGTTGGTCTTGGGTTGCCAAAGGCGTGGTAGCGGTTTTTAGACCAGGACAAAAGAAAGAAAGCTCGTGTTTGTCTTCTCTTTCCTTCTCTTGTCCTCGTCTAAAAAGCGCTACCATGCCTTTGGCAACCCAAGAATTACCGCTGCTGGAGTAGAGTGCTAGTGGGCTCGCGAGTGAAACACCTCTTTATGGTGTCTCTGGTAGCAAACCTCCTGATGCCTGCTCGGTGCTTTCGCCGCCTCTAAGCAACGAGGTGGCCACTCACTCCGAAAGAGGTCTATTTGAGCCCGAAAAAGTCGGGCATTCAATCGACAGCTGCCAAAGCTGGAAGAGTCTGGGTAAAGTTTGCGAGCTTACCTGCAGAATCCCCTAGAGGCCACCGGTCCCCCGGTGGTACTCTGACTGCTGGCAATGAGTGGGAGGGTGGAGATGCCATTTTGACTCCAGTAATAGACGCACTGTCCAAGAACGAGGCCTACGTGTCTGCTTTCCCGCGAGGCACACGTACGGTCAATTATCGCATTCTACATCAAAAACGTAGCGGATAGCGAACCGAGAAAATAATGATCCGCACAAGCGGCATTCTCGCTCGAGGACGTTGTCTCTGTCCCATATGTCGCCAGGTTCCTTTTGGGGATAGCGACGATTGGCTATCATCACGCGTGCCCTGCGGAAAAGCGGACTCTCGGGCTCTATCTGCAAACGGCGATGTCGAGTAAAGAGAGTGTCTGACGTGTGGATGGATGCTCGTAAAGTGGGTCAAAATTTAGTTGCATTCACCTTTGTCACGCACCTCGCACGTTTCGTTTTCCCCGCAGCTTTGCAGAAATATTCATCCTACTAAATGTGTCTCCTAAAACTTGCGTCCGTGGGAAACCGTTTGCATCCTATCGTTTCATTGTGGATAGTCTACGCACCCTAGGACTATCCGCGAAGCTCCATTTGGGACTACTCGTGCTCACCAATCTCTCGTTGCGAGCTACCGAGCATCTGCCCTTAACCTCGTGGTCAGGTTTCTGACCTTTCCGAAAATGTCCGAGCTTTTAGTGACAAGATTTAGGCAGTGTCGGTAATTATAAATAGTTTCGCGGGTGACTCAGCAACGCCACAAAATGCATATTTACCTCATTTGTCCAGCGAAAGGTCTCGGAGGTTACATTAAAACCTAGATTTATGGTAGTTTTGTATGCAGCAGCGTGTGCTGGGCTTTGCTTTTGTAACTCGTATTACGCAATTGTTTGTGCACCGTAGAAGCAGCGATTAGCATGAGGTGCTCGTTTTAAAGTTATACTACAAGAAAATCAACATGTGCTGCACATAGAACTGCAATTGCAGCCTGTTTCTTGCTGTCACCGTAATTCTACAAAAGGTCTGTCTATAGTCAAGTGCTGGAATATTAAAGAATGAATATAGGGGATTTGAAACAGTCGGTTGGAAACCAATGGGCACAATGAGAATAGATAAAAAGGCACAAAAAGGACACTGGGACGGGCATTCCCGCAACCTTTTTCCTCTTCCGATTCGAAACCACGCTACCATTGGAGCAACTTAAAAGTAAAACTGCCACGGGGACAAGTGGAAGGTACACAAACACGGTGCTGTTTGCGTGTCCCACTTATCTATTCTCGTCCGTAATTGGAAGCTGGAAATGACTGCTGTGACCCTTTTTCTCCCTCGCTTCTTACGAGCGGGCAGTTTTACTTCCGACTTGCTCCGAAGGTGGTTCCGAATCGGTAGATGTTGGCCGACGGGTGCGTAGAGTCGGCTTAGCGTCGCGAGTGGTGGCACAGGACCGAGGCTGCTTTCTTGCTCGTGCGCAGAAGAGGCCGCCGGACAACTCGCTGTACGTCAAGACGTGCAGCAAGAACCCCAAGAAGACCAAGTGGTGGTACCACGGTGAGTTGCACCGGGCCTCGGGGCAGGTGCCGTGACCGTCGGGAGGCCCCTCCCTAACTTGCGGTCGTGCTATGCCCCTTTCCCCGAAATAATTTTAATGTCTATTAATAGCAATGATGGAGCCATAGAATTCTTAGAATGTACGCTAGAGGCTCAGCTGGCACTAGTGTGCTGTTGCAAAGTGAAGTGGACAATTCACTTCCTGAAAGGCATTCCTACGGGGAAAAGCGAGTGCGTTTTTTAAATGCCTTCGCATTTATTGCCCCGGTGCATGTTTTAAATGCACCACCGCAAAAAAAAAAATATGAAAACAAAGAAACTGCTCCTTGACGGCTGTCGCCACAGTCGCCCCTGAAGAAGAGCCGAGTAGGCATCGAAACGTAGGGTTGCCAGTTAGGGCTTGGCTGGACGTCCCCCATATTTTAAGTAGGGAGTGCTAAAACAGGTTTATACATGCATTTATGTGCACTGTTGGACACTGTTCACCCGAACGCAGTGTTGGCACTTTTCTTCATGGGGGATTTGTTTGCCTAACGAACGAAAGATGTCTGGAAAACCAAGATGGCAAGAACTACGCAGTAACACTGGATCAGTAACTCGCTGTGCATGAAGGCAATCAAAATGGAGTGAGGGCCAAGTCATTATAGTCTGATTTGCAATAAATAAGTATTCTTTTATTCTCCCTACTCATGCATATGTGCGCAAAGGTGCTTGTTCTCCAACATCACCCGCATGCTCTAAATCTTTGAAATTAGGGTGAAGCCAGAAAACGGGTGCCTGATATAAGCTGCTAGGCGTAGAAAATAAGAAAAGATGCGCTTCATAGCCCAGATAATTTATTCTCTACTCTTTAAATGTTTTGAACCACTCTCAAAGATGCATAGCAGGGTCATTTTCTTATAGTGACATAACAAGTGAAATGGCCAGAAGAGGACCCCCCCCCCCCCCCCCCCTTCGTACCCTTAGTTGTGGACATCCCAGACATTCCCCTCCCACCGAAAAAAAATGGCCTTGATTAGCAATATATAAGTGTAACTGGAATGCTAACAAACCTTGAACACCCTCTACATTCCTTTCTATTGTTACGCAGTAAATTTTCGTTAATTCGACCTCGACGGCACCTTAAAATTTGGTTGTATTATCCGAATGAATGAATTGAAAGGAGGACAGAAAGACGGTTAAAATTAAACTTCCTTTTATTGTCAAAAGTACTCGTGGATGGTCTGCTGTCGTCTGCACTTAAAACGCGTGTCCAAAAGCGTGCTCCGCAGAGCTGCGTAACTAAACCTCCCATCCCCCAAAAAATTGTGAACTAAAAAAAAAACAAAAAAATTTAACGAGTTGATTTTGGCGCCAAACAGCCAGACCGTCAACAACAAAAAAAAAAAGAAAAAAAAAGAAGAGCACCCGCATTTGGCGACATGCGAGATGGACCGCGCATGATGCTACAGAAAAGCGCTTGGAGAGCGCGCGCTCAGAAAGCTCTACGAGCCGACTTTGGCACCGAGCGCAACCAGACTGTCGGCAACAAAGAAAAATATCAACAACAAAAAAAGGAAAAGAGAATATGCGCTTTCAGGAGGCCAAGAGGGACCACACGCGATGCTACAGAAGAGCGCTTTGAGAGCTCGCGCTGCGTCCGCGCCCGACAACGTGCTATGTTTTCCGCGCTACTCCACGCCAGATTGGTTGCGCTGGCTCGTGTCATTCGCTACGGTCCATCTCAGCGGCGTAGAGGTGCAGGCACATATTTGCGCACGTTCGGCTTTGCAGCAAAGGGCCCGTGTTTCGCCGTAGGTTGATGGTTTTTCTGCCGTGGTGTCGTGCAATGTGAGCCCGCGCACATTCGCTCGGGTCAAATTATCCGATGCGGAGTCTTCCCAAGTTCGAACTATGGAACTTTTCCTCGCATAGAAATGTATGGGCGCTCGCCGGGACTTCTGAACATGATAAAATTAAACGAAAAGTCAAATTAACCGAGGTTGAACTAACGAAAGTTTACTGTATTTTGCGTAGATTCATCGCTTGTTTTTACACATGTGCCATTTAACGCAGGTTTGAGCTTTAAATATAGTGAATTTAAGCATTGTTCACTGATGAAGGAAAATACTGTAACTAGAGCAATTACACTTTTACAATGAAAATTAAAGTTCTATACAACCCAAGTAACGAAAGTTATCCAGGTCATTCTCTGGCCAAGTGACAATATGAATGCACATTTTCCCATAGGAATGCTCAGCAGCTGCACAAAACCAGACTGGTTGCTGTCTGCTTTAATGTCCAACCCGGAGTCGCGTAGACACACCAGTTGAACCTCTAGCGCAGCGGTTCTCAGACTTTGAGAAATCACAGACCCCCTGCCCCACTCGCAGGCCCTTCAGGGACCCCCCAGTGCATTCTTCATCAAAGTTCCTGCACAATGCCATAAGAGGGCCTCTCTTTTTTTTTTTTTTGAGCTCCATGAATGTTTTCGAGGACCTTTGGGGGTCTGCGGACCACAGTTTGAGAACCGCCACCCTAGCATATATAATATTAAACTCGACAAGCCCCATCAGCAGTGGTATAAATCACTTTGTGCAGTTCAAGCAATACGCAATACGTACAAAAACATTATTACGGTACTAAAGAACAATAATTAAGCGAGGATGAAATTCACATTATATGTTCATATCTCTGTCCATACAGCTTTTGAGGAACTTGGAAAGTATATCCCTACCCTTTTGTAGTCCAGAATTTGATCTGCACCTAAGAACCTTCCAATGTTCACTGTGGTGGGTTAGGTAAATTATAATAATCTGTTCTAATGCAGCTGATTGTGTTAAAGTTGGAGAAAGTTGGAGTTTCATTCCTTTCTTTCTTTTTGATAGTGATGTCTGTAGTCATGTAAGTTATAAATAAGTTGTACATTTTGACCTTTTCATTTTGCCCAAACAAATGCCACGGTGGCCCAGCACGTCGCAGTGGTCTCGTGTGACCCAGGGTCACCACTTCACGCTTACGCCGCAAAGTTCAAAGAATGAAATTGCTTCCCTATTCTCTTCATTTAGAGCGGTGCTTCTCAAACTTTGCATCACTGCAGAACCCCCAGCTACGTGTCATTCGTGCACTGTGTCAACAACGCATTGCGTACATAGAGGAACTTGCGTTGCCGTAGATGGTAGAAATTTCGAGCCGTCAGTCCGGCTGAATATAAGTCGTTTATATTCCCGGGTGTTCCACGGGTGAGCTTAGACGAGGCATTCTTGCGTCGAGAAGCGAAGGTGGATATCTCGGCACTGTCTAGGAGGAAGCCTGTAAACACAACTAGAAACGAGCTGGAACACTCTGCGACTCGTGTGAGATAACTGCAGAGACGTTCGACCCGGCTCCTTACCTGTCTTCGGTGGAGTGACCCCCGAATCAGACTTGACCCCACCAGTGTCCTCGCGGACCCCGGGGGTCTGCGGTCACAGTTTGAGAGTAAACTAGCATTTGATATCCCTAATTATTTTTGCGTCTGGAAGCTTTCCAGCATTTAACGCGTCGAGTAGAATGGCGGGTGTATGACACTGCAAAAAAAAACTAAGGGAGCTATAATATGGGAGCTTTTATTGGTATATCTGGGGCAAAGCACCGGCTTACAGGTCCCCGGTTGGAGGGTTCGAATCCTGGCCAAGGCGCCCTCAATCTGACGGAGGCTCATTGTGAAGAAGGTGCCGTGTAACCGAGACTTTGGTTGCACGTTAAAAGATCCCCAGGTGGTTGAAAGTACCGTATTTACTCGCGTATAGGTCGACCTGTTTTTCAAAAATCGCCTCATCAAAACTGGGGGGTCGACCAATACGCGAATCCCGGTATTATATTTTTCAACTTTTTTTTTTTTCGGGGGTCCCGAAGTTAGGGGGTCGACCTATACGACGTATCGACCAATATGCGAGTAAATACGGTAATCCTCAGTCCTCCACAAGAACGTTGAATGGCCGCTCTTCTCAAGGTCGCACCTGAAAAACACGGACTACGAGAACAACTGGAAGAACCATAAGAATGGGCAAACGGCGACCATGTTGACTACAGGGGAACCGGGAAACCCGACTATAGCCTCGACCCAGCTTGTTTATTGCATAGGACGTGGTATCGAGGCTACAGGGAAAAAATCAAAACGACTTAAATGGCGGCGACTAAGTTTGCAGCGCTGTAAACTGAGAAATCATGCAAATTATGTCCGAAATATCGAGCGACAAGCTTATGGCGTCCGAAATTTCACTCAATGTTATACATTAACTCTATGGCGTGAGTGACGGTTCGGTGAAAACGTCCGGATAATTGAACGTGTGCGAAAAATTGCCATCCAAAAAAACGGTCGGCGACTATAGACGAAAATATGAAGCTGAGTAAACCACAATTGAAGTGTTGACAGTGATTGCATAAAATTGCATGGGAGTTGCTATGCAGTAAGTTTAATCAATATGTAGAGTAGTTCTTTCTGAACAAATTGAGATAAAATGGCCCGTAATTCATTCGTGGGAACCATAAAAAAATGGACACCTATCTAAAAAAAAAAAAAAAATTGACAATGTAAAGAAAGAACATTTCAAACCAATGAGCCGATTTTGCGAGACAACTGGGGGACCAGCAAGCGTTTGAAGCCCCAAACGCTATTTTGTTTGGCCCCTCTGGGAAGTACATTTACGGCTGTTCGGGGCTGTAATCCTGAGCTGCTCCTGCCTTCTGTCTCTCGGCATACTCTTCCTTTATGCTGCTGGCACTCTGGTGTGCGGCTTTTTACCGGATGCATAGCCCAGACTTGCGGCAATGGACTCGCTGGTCAACTTCCTTCCCCGGGTGTAAATGGCTCTGCTGCAACCCTCTTCACGCTGTCCACGGAGGCATTCACATTCTTGGACGTCCAGATGACCGAATGTAGGTTCTCGCTAGCGTTCTGGGTCTTGCCCTCACTGCAACGTGCCAGAAGATCTTAGTTGTTGAGCCTCGCAAACACGTGCTCGCGCAGCCCGAACACAATCCGGAAGCGGATTCTTGTGCGGTAGAGGCTGACTGGTGAACCTGCATCAGGACTCGGCTCCGTCGGGACGCTTGCTGCGGTCTGTCTATGGACGTCATGTGCAGGAGGGTGGCCTCCATGCCCTCTTCCTCCTTGGAACATTGTTGCTCCCGAGAACCATAGTAGTTCTGGATCGGCCTTCTCCCCAGTCAGCTTGCCCCTTTCACCGAGTGCTTAGCCTTGGAGCTTTTTAGCGCAGTCCTTGTTTGGCCAAGGATCTTCGAAACATGGTCAATGCAGCTTGAACCTGCGTGCAACCAGCATTACAATCAATGTTCCTTCGACACTCGGGGCCGAATACCAGTTGCTGCACCCCTGCTTCGGTCTGGTCCCAGTTTGAGTAGACCGCACGGTTAAAGACGAGGCTCGAATGCAGTTGGATAATGCAGCCCACGCCGATGTGGGAGCTGCATCCTCTGGTCATCCAAGATCTATCAAAGAGGACGACGACGTTGGCAATAGGGTTCGCGAAATCTGCATACAGCTTCTTCATGACTGCCACACTGGCAACTTCACTCGAACTTGCCGAGTTTTCGCAAGCTCGCACAAATGTCTTCGAGTGTCGTTGGAAGGTCCCTCGGTGCAGGCCACGGTGGGACAAGTTTCTGCACGCGCAGAAGTCCACCAGGGCCGTAACTACTTTGCCGATTGACTGGATCCGCTTCGTGGCTCGCACGTTCACTTCGAAGGGAGTGATCTTCGCCATTCCGGACACTCTTGGTGAAGAGAACTGCTTTTTCTCAAACTCGCGCGCGATGCGGACGAGCAGAGGCTTGACTCCGAAGCCATGCTCCTTGTCCTCAGCCCGGGTGATCATCGATGTTCCCGCAGCTTCGCTTCCACGCAAAGAGGTCGTTTGGGACCTTTGTGTCCACGACAATGAACTGTGTCTCAACATTGCTTGTCTGGACTCTCACATTGACTCCGAGAGGGTCGAACTTGCGCTGGGTCGCCGACTTTTCCCATAAGGCCCGCTCGCATTGCTCCTCTCGTTGAACACTTTGCCCCTGCTCAGCCGTCGAGTAGTGTGCGGAATCGACCCGCACTATTCTTCCATAGCTTTAAAACATTGTGGTACAACTTAAACTTGCCATGTCTTTGGCAGGCGACCCGGCTGATTTTTCCGGCAGATCCAACGATTTCGGCTGTGGCGATTGCAGTGGTGCACTTGTGGGAGAAGCCTTTGGCGTCCTGTTCCAGGCGTGTCCCTTCCTTCTGAAAGTTCGCTCCGTGCCCACTTTAAACCGAGCATCGATACCGCATCTCGAGAACTCGAAACAAAACCCCCGCATCTTTGTAACAAAGTGAGGGAACGATTAAAGGGGTAGTGAAACGAAATTTTAGCGCCGATCTTGTTGCATAAATATGGGCTAGGGACAGGCACCACCTCGGAAATATAAATATTGCGCTGTAGAACACAGGAGAACTAATTTTAAACATAATTAAACGATTTCAAATTTTCATCTGGTGGATGGGGGGAAGTTCTCGTGACATCACTTGTGCCAAAATAGCAGCGCCGTTCTGCGGCAATACGGCGTGCCGGCAGAATTCGCCTAGGCTTGAACGTGTTTGCAAAGCCTTGACGGAGAAAACCAAAGCGTAGTTGGCCACAGTGAGCTCGTTCTCGTTGCGGCTCTTTGCACGACACGACCCGAGCATGCTTCTGGCACGGCCGGTATTAGTTGCTGCGAGTCGCGAGCTGCGAGCCGACGTTAAAAAGGATATGTTTGAACTACGAGGGTGTCAGCAAGAGCCACGCATATACCTGCTCACACTCGGAGCGGACACGCGCGTTTGATCGAAGTGCTGGATTCGCTCTGTTAGACCGCGTTTCGGTAAGCGCTTCTGGACCGATCTTTTATGATTGCAACTCGATACTGACATGACACTCGGCAAAGAAAGGTTAGACCGACATCGCGTAGCTCCCACGAACTGCTATAGCTCGACAGTGATGTAGCGTCGAGTCAGAATAAAAATGGCATACTAATAACAGAGTGTACATACCGAGTTGCGAAGGTAATCCGTATGGCGTTTATTTGAGCTCTATATCACACAAAACAAGGAGATAGAATCAATGAAAGCCCTTTTCGACGACAGCGTTCGTCACCGCTGTCTCGGAAAACAAGGAGATCGAGATGACGAGGGGAAAATATTGACCTCTGAAATTTAGTTCAGGGATCAAACTACTCATCCGGTAAGGGTCCACAAAGGTCGCGCGGGCATATTCCATTCAACAGGCCAGCCGGTCACGGACAGACGGTCTTGGCCAAGGACCGCCGGAGCAACGGTGCGCCAAGTCGATGTTGCTGCTAGGCCTACTATATTCTGCCGAGCTCGCTTGGTCGGCAGAATCGTGGCCGTTGTAGCTCTTCTCGTGTGTTTGTGGATCCTGCGTTCTTGATCGTCGTGGTCTGTTTTAAGTACTCCTTCCTTTTTTCTTGCTGGTTGAAGTCGGGACGCACGAGAAGAGCACGTAGAAAAATAAATGTCCGTTGGTGGCCGATACCAAGTAACTGAGCGACGCTGTCGGCCTTGTTGATTTGATCGTAAAAAGTGCGTAAGACAGCTTCGGAGCTGTCGTAGGATTCTGTCGTAACCTGCGCAAAGGTTACGACAATTTAGTTTCGAGAGTACGGGTTTTCTCTCAAATTTGTCGTACGCACTTTTTTCGTCATGAGTTCGCTTTGAGAATCCGGCCTCAGAGCTGGTTTTGTCAGTGCTGCCGTGGTTGCCGACTTGCCGTGGTGCAGTGTGCGTGCAGCCCTTGCACATCTCAAACGGCCACGTTGTCACAGGTCGTAAATCGTCGACGCGCCACCAAGTGGCAACGCTCGTAACCACAACATTCACGCCGTAGCCTTTCCCGTCTGGCACAAGTGACGTCACGAATGCGCCCAATATCCCAAGACGCATCGCACTCTCCGATGGCCGATTTTTGAGCGCGCGCCCAATCGGGCCCATTAGGGTGAAAAATATAGCCATCCGTTCAAAATACAAACGCGCGATTATGATTTATGAATATCATTGATCATATTGAACCTATTTCTGACCATAATAGGTGTATTTCAAGTTTCGCTTCAGTATCCCTTTAATGCTCAATCCATGCCCTCAAACCGGAACTAAAAATGTGAGCTTGATCATTGAAGAAGCAAAGCGGACGAGCCGGCGGCTGACAGCTCAGAGCAGACGGCTTTTTCAGTGCTCGAATCGGGAGGAGGAGAAGAGAAAAAGAGTGGAGGGGGCCCGTCTTGGCCAATCGCGGGAGTGCGCAATCCGACGTATGCGCCGGTCTCCGAGGGTATCGCGAGAGTGAGGGGCGTGGGAAAGAAGGGAAGAGAACCAGCTTTCCAACAAACCCAAAATGGCTACGATCCGACGAGTGGCTGCGGGAGGCGCCGGGCGCGACTTTGACCACTCGCTGCGGAGGCATTGTAATTAGCGTTTTTCTCATACATAGACATTGAATTGACCATTGAAACTCTGCAGGCAGGTACTTCAGCTTATATTCAATCCAAATATGTGAATCTTAAAAAGGAAGAAATTTAGCACTTTTTTTTTATAATTTTAAGACTTGCGTCCTCTCTTAACCATTTTGCACCTCTGCCCTCGGGACGTGAGGACGCCATTTTGCCCGCATTGCTCGAACGTGCCACATATGTCGCATTTACTTCTTGGCACATTGTGAGCGAAAAAGGCAGCCTTTCTCTATTATTATGTCACCTCGATGGTGTTTGCAGATGACTCCGTCTGATGTCGGGCGCTCCTAGGCTGGCTCCACCCTCCGCCGGAAGCACATCGGCAGCAGCGGGACCGTGGCCGTGCCCCGCCAGGGGGCCCCAAGGACCCCCCAAGGTTCGCCCACCGGACGCCCGAAGCTCGTGTCTTTGATACAGTTACGTTGTGATATTTTCTCGGACAAGGCCCCTCCCTACCCCGGTACGAACTGCTGCCAGCTGGGGTCACACAGCCCGTCGTCTTAGAGAAGAGGATAAACCTTGCCTCCTACCCTCGCCTTTTTATTTTTTTTCATCATTTTTTTTTTTGTTCTATCGCGCGACGTAGTTTGCACGATTGCACTTTTTTGCAGCTTCGGCGCAATTGGTATTCCGTCCCCGTTGGTCGGCGCGAGCGTCCAGACGCGACGACGCGGCGATTCGATCGATGGATCGGTTTGCGCCGCGTCAGTCTGGGACCGGCGGTTGCAGCCCCAAAATCTGCATTTGCTTCTTACCTCGGTGTTTCCCCCTATCCATCGGTGGAACGGATCGAGGTTGTTTTCTAGTTTGGAAAGCCTTCTAGTCATGTTGAAGTTTGTGGAGTGAACGCCGCGTTGCCGATTTTCTCGGGGTCCCCGGGCGAGAGCCGACGCACGTCGATGCCGGGTGGCGCCGCCTGTCGGAGGCATGGCCGGATGCCTCGCGGTAAAGAGTCGAAGGTGCGGGCGGGGGGTTGCTCGCGACTGCTCCGCCGAGAATTGCTCCACTCGTCGGTGGCTCGAATTAGACGAGTCCGTGAGTCGCGCGCAACTCGACGAATGATTTTCTTATGCCGGGCGGCGCCACTGCCTTGCCGTCGCTACCTTCGCTCTTGGTTCGCGTTTCTCCCGCACAGACTGCCCGTCGGCGCTTATTAAAGACCGTTTCCTTTGCCCGTGTCTCCAAGTTGTACATATGTAAAACCGTAAAAAGCTGAGAGAAAAAAAATTAATAAAAGGTTTCTAATGGCTTCCTGCTTGGATTTTTTTTATGCACTCGGTGGCTTATGAACCTGCGGTGTGGTGGGTGTGAGAGTTAGTGCAGCACCTTTTAGAAGTAACTAATACTGTGAGAAATAAGAAATCTGGACTTGGTACAGCAATGCGGGTCTCCCAGGTGTGTTGGCCACTGTGGGTCCAAAAGTGTGGTGCGACTTCCACGCAACGTCATCACGCCGTGCTGGTGGTCACCCCCACTTGCTCTCGCTGACAGAAATGAATTGCCCGGTGCGAAATGTACTCTGCAAAAACTGCTCACTTGGCAGCAGAGCCAGCTCAACGGCCACGGATGGGATGTCGATGCAAGCAAGCCACGTGTGCGCCGTTTCACCTTGTGATGTACCGACCTTGACTAATGTACCGCACCACGCGTGCCACGTGACATTGTGCTTCCTCTAAACCGGAAGATCTTGCGACACTTTCTGAATCGGCTCCGGTGGCTTGTGCCGTCCGTTGCGGTGCATCATAAGTAGGGTGTATACTTTCCGGCGTTTATTTGTAACAAAAATCGGCGGATGTTTATCGGTGTTTATTTATTTCACCAATACCGGTGCTTTTCGGTGAATCCTCTCATGCAGATGCTAAAGACCAGGACAAGGATTATTGGGGGGGGGGGAATTGCAAATGTAAACCACCGCTGAAGACGAAAAACAGTCCAAATTTTATTTCCATCCTTTACACAACCTTTTTCACGCTCGATTATTGTAGTATATGCATGCATACATTCCTAGGCTCGTGTCTGTCATTGACGTTCGCTCCTTCCTGTTGACGACGCGCAATTTCGATAATGCCCGCTCAATGTTTGCGCTGGACACGGGAAGTTCCAAAACCTCCCACAAGGCTTGGGACAGTACTGGCCAGCTGTGACTGGCCTCTCGGGACAGTGATAGCGATCTTGTAGCTCGGCGGCCCCGAAGGGCCGCTGACCTTGGAGAACAGTTGAACAAAGCTACTGTCCTCCAAGAGTCCAAGATTACGTAGGTCACAGAAGAGAGACAGTCAAAGTGCATGATCCCGGGTAAGATAATGTGTTTGGCAAAAGTTTGCATAGGACCTTTTTTGTAAAAACAAAAACACATTGCTAGGAAAAAAATCTTTAGAATTCGGTGTTTTTTTGTTTTGAACTATTTTTATTTCCGTCATTGGCGAGTGTTTATTGGTGCTTTTCTGTTAAAACTGGGAAGTATGCAGGATCATGATTAGAATGCAATTAAATGCAAAGGTGCAAGCGAGCTGGACAACGATGACGAAAATAATCCCTGGAGAGGGATTATATCCCTGGAGAGGGAAATAATCCCCTCTCCAGGGATTATTTTCGTCAAGTATGCAGGACTTTTTCGGTGGAAAAAAAACGTCGCTTGCTCAAAACAATGAAAAAACCGGTGTTTTTCGGTTTTAACCGATTTTGTATTTTCGAAACCGGCGGATGTTTATCGGTGTTTTTTGGTCAAAACCGGAAAGTATACAGCCAAATCATAAGGTGTTGGTGCCACCATGTGTCGGTGGCACCCTCTTCCTGTCTGCGAGGTTGCGACCAGGATGGCCTCGCTGCGACATTTAGACTCGTGATCCTGGCTACTTATCGTCTGTTGCGAATGTTCAGTCCAGTGGTAGAAGCTCCGTAAACCGACGCCATCGTATTGACAGTTTTACGTTGCTCCGATTTTTTCGATGAAACCGGAACGGAGACCACTAAGGCATTTGGCTAATCGTGGAAAGCCGACCGCAACGATGCTCTTGGTTGCGTGCATCGTCGATAGTCCCTGCTGAAATGAAGGTGGCATTCCCTTCTCTGGCTCTGCATCGGGCTTCAAGGAACCTTTGCCCAAGTATTTGTATGTCTCTACATTTAGTCAGGTACAGTCCAACAATCGCATAAACTAATATTTGTGGCTCCAAATCTTTTTTGTTTTCTTTTTATGCGCTGAAACTGCCAGGTAAAAATCGACTGCTGTCTTTGTACGATGGCAACGCAGAATTACGAGTACTTGGCAAAAGTAAAAGAGGGCATAGATGGCCTGCAAGTTCTGCAAAGGGGTTTGTGCAAGCGGGTGCACTCGCAGAGCAGGCTTGCTTTCACATACTCGGAGTAATGCGTTTATTAAAAGCATAATAGAACGGCGCAGCGCGATGCACGCTGCGTCGTGGGTTGAGAGAGTGCGGAGGCCCCCGGTAACAGCCGTCCGCGTGAATGAAACTTGATCCGTGCGAGCGGGCCTCGGTTGGCGGTTGGACCTCGCACCAGAGTTCCTATACGTGCAGTCGCGGTATATAGCATAGCGCGCCGCCGGATATTAGCAATATATCACTTGCCATAAAGGCACGCATGCATGATGAAGTAGGCCTGACGGGAATAGTCGAATTAGCCAACTGTGAATATGCCAAGCGTGAATAAAGATACAGGATCGAATGATGACAAGCTGGTGGGCACTTCGGTTTCTTTCGGAGGGTGGCTGAGTGTTTCCTCCATTTTCGTGGAGGGTCCCTCTGGCACCACTCGCCAGGCTTCTGGCGTCGCCGAGTTCAAGCATCTAGTGCAGCATCACGAGTAAATCTTTACCTATTTTTGCCTCTTCGCCCTCCACATAGCTCGTCCATTCTCGTATTTACACATGCCATTTTATAATCCATCACCCGTTAATGTAGGCCGAGCAAGCAACCAGCACTTGTACGAATGGGCCTTTTGGCTGCCTCAGGCTTGCAGCCCTAAGCATGTCGAGTCCAAGAAACAATTTCTTTGTCTTGGACTGACCTTTCTGAAGCCCATTTCATATTGTCCAATTCTGCATTGCACTTTCTGGCCTTGGGCAGCAGAAAGCCCCAGAACGCAGCAGATACTTCACCTGCTGGTCACGTATTCTTTTTTTGGCTGCGCAAGCGTCATTGCTGAAACAATGGAAACTGCTACCATTGGACAAAAATTGCATGGTGTGAAACAGGCTCGAGTTGTATGGTTTGACTGGGTCCAGGTAGACTCATTGAAAGCCAAGTCGTTGAATGGTTAAATTCATAATGCGACTTTTCAAAGAGCAGTTTGTGGAAGAGGCCTTTCTGTTGCCACTTCTTTAAAGGGGCACTGACACCCCAAAGGTCGTATTTATTTTTATTGTCTAAAACGATGCAAGTTGCAGTCATAGACACGCAAAAAAAAACGCATCGCGAAAAAAAATTTTCCCGCGCGCGCGCGCGCCTTTTTATTTTTGGCGTTTGATTTTCCCGCGTCTCGCCTCCTCGCTTCTTTTGATCGGTGACGTCAAAAATCAGGAAATTTAGAAGCTTTGTAGGCGACATCTCTATAACATTTAATTACGGCAATCCTAAAACATGTTTTTTAACGCAATTGCGAACGCACTACGGCCCTTCTTTTTGAAATACCAAAAATCGGGAGTTCGTTGTGGTGCCGTCTCCTGGATTTGTATCCTCCAACGGAAAACAGGCGACACCGCTCAAAACCGGTCCGCCGCAACGCCGGGCGCTCGCTCCTTTCCTCCTCGCTTTGGGTCGCCATGGCAACAGCAGGGAGTGGTGAAAGGAAGTCGACTCTCAGGTCTCCGCGATTTTTGACGTCAAGGCACCGGCGCCGATCGCGCGGGAACTTCGAATTCGGCATTTGGAAATCGTTTTTTTACTTCACGAATACTGAATTCCCAAATCTCAAATTTTGAGGGTAATGTCCCGGCATCGTTTTCAATCGTTTCGGATAATAAAAAAAAATATGATTTTGATGTGTCAGTGCCCCTTTAAACCTGAATTTAACTTTCATGTCTGGGTACAAATATATATATTTTTTTTTGGTCCTTGTTGAGCACCATTGTAGGGATGGTACATAAACAATGCAGAAATTATTGTTCCATCGTTTCGTGCACGAAGTGTTTTTGAGCTTTAGTTTTACGTATGCTTATACCTTGAATGTCTTTATTGGTGTGGCGACGGCAAACCAATGTTTTCGCCTATATTGGAAGTGACCACATCCAAGGTGGCGGTGCTCTTGTGGAATAAAGGTATACATGCTGCCCAGGGACAAACTTGGAAGGGGGGGGGGGGGGGGGTGACCCCCCGCCCCAAGCCTTCTAAGGTAAATTTTTTTTTAAATTATTGATATACATTAGCGATAAGTTACGTTTTTGGTGACATAGCAAATATTGGGTCAACAAAAAATAGATCTCGGCAACGTTTTGGCCGTAATGTCGTATCTCGGCAGATTTCACCCCACCAGCCGAATGCCTACCGCGGCCACCCCTCCCAGGTCCCTGATGTTGGGAGGGGTCGCGTGACCTTGGGGAGGAGGCCACGTGACCTCGAGATGACCTTGGGAGGGGTCACGTGATCCCACGTGACCCCCAAGGTCACGTGACCTTGAGATGACCTTGGGAGGGGTCACGTGACCTTGGTTACGCCGACGGCGACGCCGCTCAAGCCGGGAACGGGCCCCTAAGAGCTGCGCTCTAAAAAAAAAAAACGAGTAGGAAATGCAATTTGACCCCCACAACTCTCGTAGGGGTCAGAATGAGACAAACAAGACTAAAGTCATTGTAACACAAAAATATCTAAAACAGCCACATCGGTCGCAGAGCTCGCCTGGGTTCTCTGGTGTCCAGGCTGTGCCTCGAACAGGGGTAAGATTCAGCAAATTCAAGACTTTATTATGGTAACACACATTCTCAAACGGCATGTCTCGCAGCAACCACTAGACACCGCCTCTCCTTCAACTGGAAGCCGAACCCCACCTAGGTCAACTCCTGTGGGGGTAAGAATAAGACAATTGAGACTATGGTCATTGTAACACAAATCTATCAAACAGCCGTACCGGCCACATCGGTCGCAGAGCTCGCCTGGGTTCTTTGGCATCCAGGCTGCACCCAGAGCAACAGGGGTAAGACTGAGCAGGTTCAAAGCTTTCTTGTTGTAACACACTCTCAAACAGGATGTCTCGCAGCAACCGCTAGACACTGCCTTTCCTTCAACTGGAACTCGAAGCCCACCTACCGTAATATCCCGAGTCATCGCCCACCCCCCAACCGCCTGAAATTCGTTAAAAAAGTGGGTTGGGCCATGTCTCGGTGGCTAAGCACAAACACTTGAAAAAAAGCGGAAAAAACCGCCTGTTTTTCTCTGCGTATCTAGCGCTGATGCAAAAGAGATACATCAAACTCAAAACTCGATTTAGTTTGATTGTTTTATAGAAAAAAAATGCTCACGAAAGAATATTTTACTATAGCGAAGTCCGTTGCTTGCATACGCGCTAGAAACACCGCCGATCTGCATATAGCACGAACGTTTGTTCCGTGAAAATTGTCACCATTATGTTCTCCTAGTTAGTAAAAAAGAAAAAGAAAGAAAAGTCTACAAGAAAATGGAAAAACCGACCAGGCGCAACGAGCGAGCGAGCGGACCAAAGAAGCGACCAAGAGCAATGCTGGGAAAGCGGGAAAGCCGGCGGTCGCGTTGGCAAATACTTTGGCGTCGGGCCAAGTCGGGCGCCTTGTCAATTGCAAGCTCTTGCGCAACTTTCTTGTTTGGTGCGTACATATGTGCGTCCGTGCACGGCGGGCTATATATGCGCGGTTGGGACGCTCTGCAAACGTCTGTGTAGGACGTTCCAGCAAAGCTTTATTTACACTTTGACTTTGCCTAAAATATTGCACAACAGCGGTCGCGACGGGCGGGAAGAAGGAGCGGGTTCGCGGTGACCTTACTTCGGCGGAGACAGACTTTGACCTAACACTCCGCGGTTACGTTAACAAACTCTTATTTTGTTATCTCCATCGTTTTCTTTTCGCACGGATACACGACCACTTTGGGGTCGCTCACGGAGGAAATGCGTAAACAAAAAGAAGTGTCGTTCCCCCTTCTTCGTTTTACTTTGTCAAGGACGTCGTCCAACTGTAAGGTCGGCGGCCGCGTCATTCGGGTAGGATGAGTGTTCGCGGGGATCGCAGATTCCGCGCTGGGGTATTTGAAGGGGTGGGCGATGACTCTGTGTTTTTTCGGAAATCGATATTGGCCCAAAAAATGGGGTGGGCGATGGCTCGGGGATGGGCGATGACTCGGGATATTACGGTAGGTCAACTCCTGTGGGGGTAAGAATGAGACAATTGAGACTATGGTCATTGTAACACAAATCTATCAAACAGCCGTACCGGCCACATCGGTCGCAGAGCTCGCCTGGGTTCTTTGGCATCCAGGCAGCACCCAGAGCAACGGGGGTAAGACTGAGCAGGTTCAAAGCTTTCTTGTGGTAACACACTCTCAAACAGGATGTCTCACAGCAACCGCTAGACACTGCCTTTCCTTCAACTGGAACTCGGACCCCACCTAGGTCAACTCCAGTGGGGGTAAGAATGAGACGAGAGAGACTACGGCCATTGTAACACAAATCTATCACACAGCCGTACCGGCCACATCGGTCACGGAGCTCGCCTGGGTTTTCCGGTGTCGAGAATGTGCCCAGAGCAACAGGGGTAAGACTGAGCAGGTTCAAAGCTTTCTTGTGGTAACACACTCTCAAACAGGATGTCTCACAGCAACCGCTAGACACTGGCTTTCCTTCAACTGGAACTCGGACCCCACCTAGGTCAACTCCTGTGGGGGTAAGAATGAGACGAGAGAGACCACGGCCATTGTAACACAAATCTATCATGCAGCCGTACCGGCCACATCGGTCGCAGAGCTCGCCTGGGTTCTCCGGTGTCGAGAATGTGCCCAGAGCAACAGGGGTAAGACTGAGCAGGTTCAAAGCTTTCTTGTGGTAACACACTCTCAAACAGGATGTCTCACAGCAACCGCTAGACACTGCCTTTCCTTCAACTGGAACTCGGACCACACCTTGGTCAACTCCTGTGGGGGTAAGAATGAGACGAGTGAGACTATGGTCATTGTAACACAAATCTATCACACAGCCGTACCGGCCACATCGGTCGCAGAGCTCGCCTGGGTTCTCCGGTGTGGAGGCTATGCCCAGAGCAACAGGGGTAAGATTGAGCAGGTTTAAGGCTTTCTTGTGGTAACACACACTCTCAAACTGCATGTTTCACAGCAACCGCTAGACACTGCCTCTCCTTCAACTGGAACTCGGACCACACCTTGGTCAACTCCTGTGGGGGTAAGAATGAGACGAGCGAGACTATGGTCATTGTAACACAAATCTATCACACAGCCGTACCGGCCACATCGGTCGCAGAGCTCGCCTGGGTTCTCCGGTGTCGAGGCTATGCCCAGAGCAACAGGGGTAAGATTGAGCAGGTTTAAGGCTTTCTTGTGGTAACACACACTCTCAAACTGCATGTCTCACAGCAACCACTAGACACTGCCTCTCCTTCAACTGGAACTCGGACCACACCTTGGTCAACTCCTGTGGGGGTAAGAATGAGACGAGTGAGACTATGGTCATTGTAACACAAATCTATCACACAGCCGTACCGGCCACATCGGTCGCAGAGCTCGCCTGGGTTCTCCGGTGTCGAGGCTATGCCCAGAGCAACAGGGGTAAGATTGAGCAGGTTTAAGGCTTTCTTGTGGTAACACACACTCTCAAACTGCATGTCTCACAGCAACCACTAGACACTGCCTCTCGTTCAACTGGAACTCGGACCACACTTTGGTCAACTCCTGTGGGGGTAAGGATGAGACAAGAGAGACTACGGCCATTGTAACACAAATCTATCACACAGCCGTACCGGCCACATCGGTCACAGAACTCGCCTGGGTTCTCCGGAGTCCAAGCTGTGCCCCGAGCAACAGGGGTAAGATTGAGCAGGTTCAAAGCTTTCTTGTCGTAACAAACACCGTTCTCAAACCACATGTCTAACAGCAACCACTAGACACTGCCTCTCCTTCAACTGGAATCCGGACCCCCCCTTGGTCAACTCCTGTGGGGGTAAGAATGAGACGAGTGAGACTATGGTCATTGTAACACAAATCTATCACACAGCCGTACCGGCCACATCGGTCACAGAGCTCGCCTGGGTTCTCCGGAGTCCAAGCTGTGCCCCGAGCAACAGGGGTAAGATTGAGCAGGTTCAAAGCTTTCTTGTCGTAACAAACACCGTTCTCAAACCACATGTCTAACAGCAACCACTAGACACTGCCTCTCCTTCAACTGGAATCCGGACCCCCCCTTGGTCAACTCCTGTGGGGGTAAGAATGAGACGAGTGAGACTATGGTCATTGTAACACAAATCTATCACACAGCCGTACCGGCCACATCAGTCACAGAGCTCGCCTGGGTTCTCCGGAATCCAAGCTGTGCCCCGAGCAACAGGGGTAAGATTGAGCAGGTTCAAAGCTTTCTTGTCGTAACAAACACCGTTCTCAAACCACATGTCTAACAGCAACCACTAGACACTGCCTCTCCTTCAACTGGAATCCGGACCCCCCCTTGGTCAACTCATGTGGGGGTAAGAATGAGACAAGTGTGACATACTATAGTAATTGTAACACGGATCTATCAAAACAGCCGCACCGGCCACATCTGTCGCGGAGTTCGTCTGGTTTATCTGGTGCCCTTTCTCCATCAACTATCTTGGGGGTAAGAACGGGGCTTGTTTCGATTGTCATAGTCTTGAACACTGTAACCTGACAAGAACATATGCTTCGATCGTCTTTCCAGAGCGACACTTCAGAAGCAGAAACACCGTCCAAAAGGCGCAGACTTGTATGTATTTTATCTCTACACCGGCGAAACATTCCTTTAAGCGATCCTCATTCATTCACTTTTAGGCAACAGCAACTTCAGAGGACGGGACTTAGAATTGCAAAGAAGCGACTTGGAACTGCGAAGCGCAAACTGTATGCCACCACAAAAAGACTGAAGAGAGCAACCAAGAAACTTGTTGACTTAAAGACAGTCATCACTGAGTTGAAGAAGAGGAATCTTCTGTCGGAAGATCTGGAACAGAAACTTGAGTCATTCGGTGAGCTACCCAACGAGCTGCTACAGTCCTGGAAAGCAAATAAAAAGAGAACCCCTTCTGGAAGAAGGTATAGTGAAAAGATGAGAAAGTTTGCCTCAACACTGCACTATCACTCTCCAAAGGCGTATGCTTACTTGGCAACCATCTTTCCAATGCCAAGCATTCAGACACTTCGCACATGGCTCAAGGTTGTTGATGGTTGGCCGGGATTTACCCACGAAGCCATTGAACACCTCAAGAAAACCCATGAAAACACAAGTGAACGAGAGAGGTTGTGCAGCATCATGCTCGATGGAATGAGCATCAGAAAAATAATTCACCTCGACAGCAAAAGCGGCCGTCTTATTGGGTATGTTGACTTCGGAGGTGGCCAGAGCCCAGACGATACTGATGACGCCCCCTCCGCAACCGATGCTCTGGTGCTCATGGCAGTGGGAGTTGCAGCTCCATGGAAGATCCCTATTGGCTATTTTTTAGACAATGGACTTTCTGGTGAAGTGCTTAAGGGCATAATTACTGAAGCGATTCTACTGCTCACAGAGTGCAATCTTGAAGTTGTAGCTGTTGTATGCGATGCACTGTCATCAAATGTAATGATGGGCAAGCTGTTTGGCTGCCTCATCCATGAGACCGACGTGGACAGCTTCAAAACATCATTTCCTCATCCGAAGGACCCAGCCAAGAAAATCTTTCTCATCTTTGATGCGTGCCATGGCTTGAAGCTCCTCAGAAACCTCTTTGGGGATAAGAAATACCTGACCACGAGGTATGGGGTAAGGAGGTAATGATAAAATAATATGTATCATGGCTCATTGTTTCTTTTTATCACTGCAGCTCATCCAGTGGCGCTTCATTGAAGACCTTCAGAGGTTTCAGGAAATGGAGGGTCTGCGGGCAGGAAATAAACTCCGCAGAGCACATGTTGAATACTACCGTCAAATTATGAAGGTGCGCTTGGCGGCGCAGACTCTCAGCTCTTCTGTGAGCAAGGCCTTGGAACTTGGTCGAAAGCTGCAACTCCAAGAATTCCGAGGCAGTGAAGCAACGTCGAAGTTCATAGCAGATGTGGACCAGTAAGTTTATAGAAAAGTATAGCTATACCCCACGTCAGAAGTTGTGTGCAGCGCAGTCGAAGCTAACGGTTCCCCTTTCCAAATGCGGCTGTAGCTAAGGAGGGAAAGGGTGATTTCGTTAAAAATTACCTTTTCCCTTCTTGTTAACTAGAGGCACATTTAGAAGAAGGGAAAGGAGAACCCTTAGTTTTTATTAGTGATGGGCCGAATTTTCGCCGAACTGAAAGTTCAGCGACGAATCTTGGGATTTTGCAAAGCCGAACATTTGCCAAACTTTTTTAAACATTCGGCACAGATTCGGCAAAAATACATTATTACCAGACTTTCAAAAAAAAGTTTTTTTTTTTTCTTAACTTAAATGCAACATGCAATGCATATTGACACAGTTATTACTAAATAAGAGGGTATTCTACAAGATAATTGTACTGTTGCCGTTTTTGTGTGCTTAGTGGCAATTTTAGTGACTCCTTACAGAAGCGGCATGACAACAAGGTTGGGTAGAAGCGAGCGTGGCACAGTCGCGAATCGCTATGAGAGTTTCGGTTTTAAGGCATCATTAGCGCAAGCCTGCATGTGTGTGCACATTGTTAAAATGAAGGCAATAATGCTGTGTTCTTGCTTTCTCTGGGAGTCACTGTTTTGTGTGCGAAGACGAATGCAACGGTTGTTGAGCCTTCACCGGAAGAGATAATAATATTGTAGTAAATATGCATATTTTTTATTTCAGTCACATGACGTCAACTTTGCATGAAAGTGCGTGTGTCCCATATTTGCAACGTCTCGTTTTTAACCTTCAAAATGCCAGTTTTTGGTGTTAGGAGACACACAAACGTTTAGGAAGATAGGGAGAGTTAGGAATGTCAGATGTGCAACGTCGAGCATGATAGTTCTGTGTTTAGTTTTATGCAGATACATGAAAATTGCAAAATAACGCTAATTGAAATAGCAATATTATTTTTTTTGGGCCACACTACTGAGCTGAAAACACAACTGTTATAATTGAGAGGAGCACTTTAAAGTAAATGTCAGACAATGTTTTAACTACCTCGTTGCATCACTGGAAAGGTCCAGGAAAGATCAAATGAAAATCACGTTATCCAGAATGTACCGCATCATTTGTCACTTACGTAGTGGACTGCGCATTGAACTGCGTAAGTTACAGGTTAATCTTTCATTCTTGAGGCAGAAAATATTGAAAAGCACCAGGCTCGTTCACAAACGCAAAGTTACCGTGTTGCCCACTCTACAACTTGCCATAACCGCTGGTTGTACTACACAGCACTACGGTAACCGCACGACTGCATGGCGTCCATTTGCAATCCATGACACCGTCGCGTTCTCGAGCCTGCGCAGACGTTTGCCAAATTTTTGCTGAATCTTTGCTGAACTTTCCTTTAAAAGTTCGGCATTTGCCGAACTTTGCTGAATCTGAAGTTTGGCAGATTCGGTCCATCACTAGTTTTTATTTCACTGCACATGATTTCTTACGCGGGTATCACACGTGACAAATGATACAAGGAAAGAACAGGACGAGGAATGAGACTGCAAAAAAATCTCACCTGGTTCAAAATTACAAATGTACAATTCACTTCTGCCTTATATACTGCAGGTATCATGACTGATGCTATTCTGTTTTCTTCTTTTTAGAGCATTTGACCTGCTAAATTCCCACAACCCAAGGGCAATGGGCTTCAAGGCTCCACTTAGACAAACCTTGTTTGAGAGCCAAAAGAAGATGGTCACCTTGTCTGAGACGTTGATGTCCCTACAGCTTCCATCAGGGAAACCAGTTGCTGCAGATGGGAGGCGCATGTCTGTTATAAGCATGGCATTCACCCTGAAGAGCGTCGCTGAGCTTGCAGATGCTCTGTTTCAGAGGGACATGTGCAGGTAAAAGCTGAAACTTGTTTGATTAATTTGTTGTGGTAGTTTAAATATCATAACATTTTTCGTGTGATTTACCAAATGCAGATACATCTGCACATACCGTCTCAGTCAGGATCATCTCGAGATGTTCTTCAGCTGCATCAGACAGCGCGGCGGCTGGAACAACAACCCTTCTGCTGTGCAGTTCCGCCATGCTTATCGCTGTCTGCTGGTGCATGCAGATGTGAAGGCACCAACAACTGCAAATGTTGCTCCTGACATGGATGGAATCACTGCATTGAGGCACCAAGGTAACCTGTCGAAGGAAAATGATGAGGCAGAAGAGATAAACCCGCTGCAACTGGACACATTTTTTAGCTTTGCTGACCACAACTACCTTGGTGCAACCCACGGTTTAACCGAATGCAGTGCCGAGATTGTCCAGTATGTAGGCGGATTGTGCGGGTTGTGTCGAAGAAGGTGACATGCTCAGAATGCCTTGACATCCTTGTTGATGATCATGTGACAAGCCTTCTCGTTTTCATAAGAAACAGTCGAGGCTTGATCATGCCATCTTTGTTTGTACGTCATGCCCTGAACTGTGCAGAGTCAACATTCAGGCATGAAACTAAGGAACCACAAAAGGCTACAGTACAGCGCCTTGTTCTCAACGCCTTCCAGAGCTTCGTTGTGAAGCATCAGGGGAGCTTGTCACAGAAAGGACACTATAAGGACAGTCCCCAACATGTGATCACGCTGACCAGGCTGATCCTAAAGGAGTACATGACCCTTAGACTTCGAGAGCTATGCAAAAGGCTCACCGAAAAGAACAGGGGGGCTTATGTCCGAGCGCAGTTGACAAAGCAGATTTTGTTTAAGAATCAGTGAGGAAAGAAGCCCAGAAGGATGGCATTGCGCTATTAAAAGTCAATTCCTGAGCTAGTTAGTTTATCATAGTTGTCCTGCCTACTTCAAGTCCCTGTCTTTTTTTTGCACTATTTCATATTCTTAGTGTCGTGTTGTGTACATATTTATGTTGTAGCAAATAGTGCAGACCGTAACAATTTTTTTTTTTTTTTTAGTAGTTTCAGTGCGTTTGTAATCACGTATCTGTTTGCAACATAACTTTTAAAGGACTAGTGTAGAACTTGTACCTCCTGCATTTTATTTGTGTCATTGTGCAATGATACACAGATAGCACTATACTACAAAATCGGCATTATGTTTTACGTTATAACATATGTTATAAGGTTCAAATTGGTTTTTTTTGTTGTTTTTTTTTTCAGTTGCCTTTAGGTGGTTTTGTCTAGAGCACTATATAGCTCCTACGGAGCAGAGTAGCGCAATCCTTTGAACCCCGTGTTTTGCCGACAACATGGCCGACAGAGCGGCTCGGCGCGAGTCACGTGGTACTCAGGGTTCCAGGAGGCGGCCCGCCCTATGGGAGAATACATGGAGATCGACACATCACGGCTGATTAAAAAATGAACGGCGAGTTCACACTTTTCAAAACTAGTCTGTCGTGAAGTTAGTAAAGCACTAAACCATTTATCAAAGTTTTAATAATATCGGATGCGTGTGCAAATTTTGAGAAGGCAATTTCCAAGGCAATGGCGTTTGAAGCAGACGATTTTTGCTCGCAGCGGAGATGGGCTTTTCGGGTTGGCCGGAGCGGGTCACGTGAATGGTGTGACGTCGCCGTGTCGTCTGCTGCATGATGCCGCTCAGGCAATTTTTTAAAAAAAGTCACGTCCTTGCGGGGCACAAAACTTAGCACAAATTATTCTAAAATGTTCCATTATTATGTCAAAAATAATTGCCATTCCGTACAACTCCACAATACTGAAGAAACAACGATTTTCTCACGTTCTCCATGCATTTCTGACCGCAGTTGGAACCTCTGGGCGTTCGCCGCTAGTCGCCGAGAGGCGGCGTTCTAGATTGCGCTACTCTGCTCCGAAGGAGCTATATAGTGCTCTAGTTTTGTCAACGTCGGTTCACTGTGGACTTCCCAATGAACGTTCAAATGATGTGTACTTACTCTAATTATATATAAGTGTAATAAAACCTTTTTTTTTTTTTTTTTTTTTTTTTTTTTTTAGTACAAAAATATTTTTAGCTTTCCTTGTGTTCGAATAGCGGAACCTGTTTTATTTCAGTGTGTCGTTTCCGTGTTGCGGATTGTTTTTGTGCTGTTTTGCATATCATTTGACTCGGAAGTAAAGAAATGGAACGCTATTCGCAGATTTCTTTCGAGGTGCGCCCGCCGGACCATCTAACGCACCACCCAACGCATTTTAGAGACGGTAAGAAACTATATAGGCATTATTATAATCGGTTCGTTCGATTCGGCAGTACGTTCGGACTAAGAGTTCAGTCGGACGAGTGTAGGAGTCGTGCATAGGCGGATTGCATGACACGCTTTTCTGAGCTCGGAGTGAACTAATTTTGAACTTTCTGGCCGAATCAAACAGACCTAATAGATCTACATGTAAGAAACCAACCTGACGCAACCGCCGATTGCCCAAAATGCCGGTGATCGAGGCTGATACGTGGTCCGATAGGCAAACGTTTACTCGTTGTGCGGCGCTTCATGGAACGAACCATACAAAGCAAAAGACGCAATATAACTTTTCCATAGACCATAGCTAGCAAGCAACTTTAAAGTGCCAAATCATTTGTATTACCAGAGAAAAACTCGCGGCAGCAGCAGCTAAAGCTCATCGCAGCGGAGCAGCGGAGGGAACGTCTCCATTAGGGGTGTCGCGAACTTTTGTCGAACCAGATTTTTTGGTCGAAATTTGGGGGTTCTACGGTTCTACTGTGTCGAACCGGTTCGACGAACCTTCGACTTTTCACCAAATTCGAACGGTTCGACTTTGTGGACAGTGTGGCCAGACCTTAATACAAGTATGTCTAGGTTTGGAGAATTTTTTTTTTATGCAAAGGGTTATTTTATTTTGTGAACAGCTGCAATTGAAAGAAACTAATTCTATTCACTGAAGAAGTTAATAACTTAGATTTTAGTACTGTATTGACTAAAATAGCAGATCAGTGCTGCATATAATTCATCTCTTAGCCATTACCATCCAATCCGAAGCCAACTGGCCAGCCTGTCGCGCATGCGCACACGAGTCGAACTTCAATACACGGTTCGACGAACTTTCTACTAAAAGTTCGAAAAAGTCGAACCTGGTCGAACTTGAATCGCGGCCGGTTCGCGATAGAGCACTATATAGCTCCTACGGAGCAGTTTGCGACACCCCTAGTCTCCATAGTGACAACCACTGATCTCTATGACAATTGCTGGATCGCGTTTGCCCGCTCCGCGAATGCGGTCACTGGCGGCCATCTTTAGGTAGAGTTATATCACCTCTAGCCAATGTAAGCTGCTGCAGCCGCTATCATCCATCCATCGCAGAAAGCGTTTTGGCAGGTGGGTTGGCAGGTTGCGGTCAAAATAGCGTGGGTGATATTGCGTGCTTGATTAAAATTATTTGACGAAACATGTTTTTGAAACGCGGCGTGAACAGTAGTCCGGTTTTTGAGGACCTGGTAAAAGTTTCACAAAATCGCAGCACCGGGAGAAAAGCAGCACAGCACGTATCGAAAGTCGCATCGAAAGCAGACGACGGTACGGAGTCTGCTTTTGATGCGAGCTGCGCTGCTTTCCCCCGGTGCTGCGCTTTCGTAGAACTTTTGCCGGGTACTCAAAGATGAGGCAACCGTTCACGCCGGGTTTCAAGAATCTGCTTCGTCGAACAACTTCAATCAAGCACGAAATGTCACCCACGGTACAGTGTACTAGATCTACGGCTATTTTTATGGCAGCCTGCCGCCATTGCGCTGTCCGCCATATTACTATGATGGCTAGAGATGATATAACTCTACCTAAAGATGGCCACCAGTGACCGGATTCCGGTCCATAGGAGGAGCTAGAGCACTATATAGCTCCTTCGGAGCAGAGTAGCGCAATCTAGAACGCCGCCTCTCGGCGACTAGCGGCGAACGCCCGGAGGTTCCAACTGCGGTCAGAAATGCATGGAGAACGTGAGAAAATCGTTGTTTCTTCAGTATTGTGGCGATGTACGAAATGGCAATTGTTTTTGACATAATAATGGAACATTTTAGAATAATTTGCGCTAAGTTTTGTGCCCCGCAAGGACCTGACTTTTTTTTAAAAATTGCTTGAGCGGCATCATGCAGCAGACGACACGGCGACGTCACACCATTCACGTGACCCGCTCCGGCCAACCCGAAAAGCGCATCTCCGCTGCGAGCAAAAATCGTCTGCTTCAAACGCCATTGCCTTGGAAATTGCCTTCTCAAAATTTGCACACGCATCCGATATTATTAAAACTTTGACAAAGTGTTTAGTGCTTTACTAACTTCACGACAGACTAGTTTTGAAAAGTGTGAACTCGCCGTTCATTTTTTAATCAGCCGTGTTGTATCGATCTCCATGTATTCTCCCATAGGGCGGGCCGCCTCTTGGAACCCTGAGTACCACGTGACTCGCGCCGAGCCGCTCTGTCGGCCATCTTGTCGGCAAAACACGAGGTTCAAAGGATTGCGCTACTCTGCTCCGTAGGAGCTATATAGTGCTCTAGGAGGAGCTGGTCAAACGCGATCCAGCAAATAGACATAGAGATCATGGATGGATGGATGGATGGATAGATGGATATTAACTGTTCCCTTTATATCGGGCGGTAGCTTGCGCCATCTAGCCTTAAAATTTTTAATTAAGAAATTTGTTCTTCCTTTTTTTTTTTTCCCTTCACCTCTCTGCAACTATCACCGGGCGGGTAGAGTACTTCCCAGGAAGACCTTTGGGGGATCGGGCAAAAAAAAATTAAACACCGCCCCCCGCCTCCTCCCCCGGGCGAGGGAGTCGCCAATTTTCCTCTGGTCAACCTCGTCGGTGTTCCTCCTTAAACCACACCCACTGGGGGACAGGTGTGGGACTTTGTGCCGGAGCCACGCGGGAGGGAGTCCCAATATTCCTCTGTCCCTCCTGACCCCCAGCTGTGCTAATTGTTCGTCCTTGTTTCATTTTCCCTAGACTGTATCCACCAGTTTTCCAATCTCCTTTTTGTGATGGTAACCCTTTTTTTCTCCATTCCTCCATCCTCGTGACAACAAACAATGTTGCTATGATTTTTAGGAAGACCGTGAAATCTAGCGGCTGAGGCTAGTTGGTAACCATGTGTGGGACCCAGAAGGTCGTCTGCCTGCATGCTCCGCCGCTTGCGGCAGCCAGAATGCATGGGAAGATGGCGGACCTTTTCCTCTAGAGTTAGTGTATGTACGATCTCAATGGAGATGGTGGACGTCGAAAGTCATAATTGAAACGTTATTGCTCTATTTTATGAACATGGTTTTTGTTCCTTGTTTTAGTTTTGCAATCTATTGATAGAACAATTTGTCGCCAATTCGTTGCAGTAATGAGCGCCTCCAACCACGGAAGCGCTGCTTAGCGTCCAGTTTGCTCAGAAATCGATTTTAATGGCAGTAGCCGGGCACTGGTAGTACGGGTAGTAGTACGTCTCCGACTGGTGTGTTTACCGCCTCCAAAAAAGTGGTCCCTCGATTTCCGCCTGATGACGTCATTAAAATGTCATGTTATCACTGATTGCGAACCTGGCGGCGTCTCAACAGTTGTGCTGGGTATAGCAGACGCCTGTTTTGCTGTAGGTCTCTCTCCACTTTGACAGTCCACAGAAGCTAAAACAGCTGGACGATGGGACGCCGTGACGACAGCAACACTCGCGTTCACTCGTGCTTTTCGCCAGCATTTCTGCGACCAACCGCCAGGATCGCGACAGGCAACAACATGACACTCAAGTTTCTGTGACGTCATTTGTTGCCACTTTGGGACCACTTTTGATGTATGGGCGGGATGGGACGCTCAACACACCAGTCGAAGACGCGCTCCGGGCACCATAGTAGTACACTTGGTACGCTTGGTACACTGTCGACAGACCTTTGCCTTCGCTGTCTGAACGTCGCAGTATTGTAGTAATCACTAATCACAGCGTGCTGCAAGAAATCTGACACCGAGGTAAGCGTCCACGGTTCATTTTGTACGTTCTGCTGGTATGGCCTAGCTGCTGACGTGCGTGAAGACACCATGAGCGACATCTCCGACGTGCAACAGCTGGGCGACCTGCTGAAACAGGACGGCGCCGACCACAGCCTGCTGGACACGTCCAGCCGGGTGGCCCAGTTCACTTTAGCAGTCATGGTGAAGCTAGTCAAAGAACGACCCTGGCAAGTGGCCGAGCAACTCCTCGACCTGCTGCGGCAGGAAGGCAGGGCCCTGATGCAGGTGGACCCCACCGAGACCGCCGTGGGAAACGTGGTCCGCCGCGTGCTCAAGCTGGTTCGTGACGACTACGCGAGCATGTGCTGCGGCCGACAGGTCGAAGGGGACAACAGCGAGTCGTTGCAGAAGCTCGTGTCGGCCAAGGGCGACTCCGTGGACGACTACAGCCGGCCCCAGCCCGAACTTAGGGAGCGGCTGCTCGAGAGCCTGGACGAACTCGAGCGCGAGCTCGCCCTGAGCCGCGAGAACATCGCAGCCCAAGCCCTCGAGCACATCCACTCGGGACAGGTGATCATGACCACGGGGCGCTCCCGGACCGTCGAAGCCTTCCTCCGCCGGGCGGCGGCCCAACGCACCTTCCAGGTCATGGTCGCAGAGTCTGCGCCGTCCTTCTCGGGCCTGGAGCTGGCTAGGGTACTGTCTCGAGCTGGCATCCGGGTCACCGTGGTGCCGGACTCGGCGGTCCTCGCCATCATGCCCCGCGTCAGCAAGGTCATCATCGGCACCCATAGCGTGATGGCCGACGGAGGGCTCAAGGCGCCTTGCGGCGCCCATGCGCTCGCCCTGGCCGCCCGCCAATGTGCCGTGCCGCTCATTGTGGTCGCGCCCGCCTTCAAGCTCACGCCGCAGTACCTGTGCTCCGAGGACCAGGAGGCCTTCCAGCGGTTCGGGTCGCCCGAGCGCGTGGCACCCTTCGAGACGGCCAGCAGCGCCGTGCAGCTCGTGGCGCCGGCCTTCGACTACGTGCCTCCAGACCTGGTACCCCTGCTGGTACTAAACTCCGGCGGCAACGCGCCCTCGTACGTGTACCGGCTCCTCAGCGAGATGTACCACCCCGACGACTTTAAGCTCGGTGCTTGATGTTGGCCAAACATGAGACACCATTTGATAACGACGCTTTATTCTTCTTTTTCTCCACGACCCGGTTCCGTATCCTGCGGACGACGTGGGGCCTGCCCGGTCACTTGAGGTACCTGCACGGAAAGCCCCGGTTAACAAACCCACTTTAACGCAAAAGCACTCTACCAGTATGGCACAGTGGTGTAGCCGGGAATTTTTTTGGGAGGGGTCGAGGTGGCTCGGACGTCCCACTTTTAGGTGCGGGGGGGGGGGGGGTCGGGTCAAAATGCACACATATTTTATGAGGTCGGCTGAATTTTCAAGAGGGGGCCGAAACCCCATAGACTCTCCCCCTGGCCACGCCACTGGAATGGTGCCTGGAGCACATCCCCGACTGGTGTTCACCGCGTGGTCGCCCCGATTTGCACCTTTTTACGTCGCATTGTTCTCCGCCACGGCACTGGCACATGCGTCAGACGCCCGTTCTGCCGCGGGCCCCTTCGCAGCTCGACACTCCCTCGAAAGCTTCGGTAACACGCACATTCTCTCCCGCTTTTTTGTGGGAACTTGTAAGACAAACCGCCAAGATAGATAGATCTCGCCGGCCGTTGGGTGCACGCGTGAAGCCGCCGTAACTTTAGTTTGCAGGAGGCTCCGCGCGTGCCTTCTCACACGGTGAGGTTGTCGCGCGTACGGAGAGACATTCCCTCGATGCGGTGCTGGCATAGGCAAAGTAGCTGGCGAGATATTGGGGCGTCCACCAGAGTGACGCTCCGACTTCTGCAACATCTCTCGTTTTTCCTTTGGGTCAACACTTGGGACGTGCGCCAGTCGGAGACGCCTTCCAAGCAGCCTGGTGTCCCCGGAAAGGGAGCATTTCTTTAACCAAGCTGGGACATCCTCAGCAGTTTGCTCCTTCTCCTCAAGCTTCCCGCCTCCCTAGTCCTCCCGAATGGTCGTCGAGATGCATGTGCCTTCCCGACGTGAAAGTAGCAGTAAGGCTCTTTGCCCGTGTTTAACGATTACTTCAGACCAAGCCCCGTACTGTTGTTCTACGATCTGGACGGGTGGACGGTAGTAGCTATACCCTTTGTAATGGGTGCAGCTTGGGCCACCTAGCCTAACATATTGTAATCTTTTCTCTTTTAAAATTTGTATAAATTTTGTTTTACTCCTCCCCCCCCCCCCCCCCCCCCCTCTTTTTAAAGGGAAACTGAAGCGGTTCTCTATTTGAGAAAAAACATTTCAATGGCCTTCATTCTACCTCCAGGATCAGGAATATCAAGATTATTTTTCAATTTGGTGCACGGAGGCTTCAGAAATTAATTTTTAAAGTACCGCCGAAGCCCCTCCTTCCCGGGGCGTGACGTCACACTAGGAGCGTTCGGAATATCTGCTCTCGCGCATCTTCAGCGCCTGTCAAAGCTATGCACGCGCACTCTTGCTATTTTCAGAAAGGTCAGAAAGAGACGTCACGACTGGTGTCAGTGCGGGGAAATATACCTGGCAAGCTTGCCGTTGCACGCGCTGAACACACGAGCGACACGCGCTTGGCGGCCCGAAGATCCTAGTATGACGTCACGACTGGTCGAATGTTTTTCGCTTTTTCTCGCTTTTAGTTGCATCTTCAGGGAAAACAAAAGTGATATTCAGATCCACGGGATAAAAATACGCCAGAATTCACCTCTAACTTGTTTTTTTCAAGAAGTGTTTCAGCTTCCCTTTAAAGTGTTACTATTGCTTATTTTTATCTGCATTTTTACCCCTCCCTAGATTTTTTCCACCCATCTTCCAATCTCCTACCGCAATTCTTTCCCTATCCATTCGTCCATCCATGTCTGCGAATCCCAGTGCCCCTTCCAGATCCATAGTCATCCCCACGTCCAAGAGGGTGGGACGACGCCCCGTGCACCTCAAAATTGCATGTTTTCTATTTCCTGGAATTTAGCCCTATATGTTTTCGTTCTTAGCACCCTGGTTCTAGCTTCAAACAGCCTCCAACGAGCTCTCCACTGAATTATCATACAAATGTTCCTTCTTTATTTCTTGTTTTTGTGCCCTGTATATTGTTAAGGCTGATTTCCCCTGCATTCTCTCTTCCCACAATTTCCTCACCGTTTCCTTTACTCGCTTCTCTACTTATACGCTCTGATCTTCCCCATCTCGTTGAATATATTTAGATCTCGGCTCGCGGGTTCGGCTTTTCCACTTAGTAGTATTTAGACTTTTCACATATAGATGTACACTTTCGCTGCCCACCGTATATCCTCAATTTCAGCTAGTCTTTGTTCAAAGTTTACTGATCACTTCTCTACTCTCGAAAGATACCCAACCCATATCCCCCTGTACTCCCTCATTTGGTGTCTTCTCATGTGCCCCCAACGCCAACCTGCCCACACTCCTTTGCTGTATCTCTAAACTTGCCTAGATTTATGACCTGATGCACAATACAGCATTCCTAAATGACAGTCCTGGCACCATGACTCCCTTCCATACACCCCTAACGACTTCATACCTATTATAGATTGAAGCCCTGTGTTTCATAACAGCTGAATCTCGTTTCCCCTTCTTTATTAGAAAATCTTCATGTTCTTTTAGACACTTTCTTCCCTCACTTAGCCATACTCCCAGACTTTGTATGTTTCTATGTGTTCTATCACCATGTCCCGTATCTCCAGGGGTTCCCCCTTCTCGTCATTGAAAATTATTATACCCGATTAGCCCCTATTGAATTTTAGGCCTTAACTGTCCCCTTCCCTGCTGCAAATCCTAATCAGCTCCTGCATTGTCTCACGACTTTCTGATACAAGTACAATGTCGTCTGCATACATTAAACCTGGCAATACTTGGTTTACTTTATGTCCTTCCTCCATGTAATCCAGGTGAAAACCTAGGTTGTACTGTTCTAAGCTTTTTTCAATCCCACTGATGTTTATCATAAAGAGCAGGGGAGACAATGGGCAACCCTGTCTAACTCCTCTTTTTATTGCTGCCGGTCTTGTAGTTTCGGCTTCCCATGTTATAACCATGTATTCTCCATATAAACTCGTTTAGAAACTTAACCAACCATGGTTCCCCCTAGCGCATATCCCTTCATTTGGTCCCAGAGTTTTTCCTGATCCGTTGTTATATGCCCCTTTGATGTCCAAAATGCTACCCATAATGGCCCTTGACTTGTCATTGCTATCTCTATGCACTGAGTGATTACGAATAAGTTATCATCTAGTCGTCTACCCGTTCTGAAACCGTTTTGAAGCTCCCCCAGAATCTAATCATCCAGTTGATGGCCATTTTGTTAGGTGCCAGTGCATCCCCTATAGATCGTCATAGCTGCAAAGAGGACTTCTGAAGAGTGCCAGGAGTGACTGGTCCAGATACGTCCATTATATTTAGGGTTCCGCGTTTTCGGTTTCTATTGTTCCGAAATTCGGCATACTTTTTTCGGTGTTTATTATAAAATTCAATTTTCGGTTTCTTTCGGCGTATATTCATGCCCACAAAAGTTAATCGTCTTTTTTCGGTTAATATAAAATAAACACCAACGGACACCGGAGCAGATGATCCTTGCACATCCGCCGAAAGAGACACGGTGCGACGTTTTGAAGCACAACACAAGATGCAGAGCTTGCATCAAGTTAGTCTTCCTTGCAACGAGTTTGAAAACACGCTCGTACATGGCAAAGTCATGGCGCATTTCGGACTTCAGGTTCCGATCGATGATGCGCACAATAAACCAAAACGTCGTGATGGCACCCGTGTATCCAATACGTTCGAACACGTTTCGATAGACACTGTCGTTCCACTTTTTCGCCACGGCTCTGCGGTACTACTGGAAGGTCAAAGTGACCTTTTCCTGTTAAAACTGAATTTAAAAAAAAATGGATTCGACGAAATTTTATCTGTTTTTATCGGTTTAAATAAAAATGCCAAACCTAAAAACTGACCTTTTTCGGTTAAAACCGAATTTCCAAAAATGGATTCGGCGTACTTTTATCGGTTTAAACCGAAAACTCCGAACCCTAACTATATTGTTGAAAGCTCGTGTACTATATGTATTCAAAGTTGGCCAAATAGCAGACCATTTTTTCTGCTAAACTGAGATGTCGGCGGCCTCTGGCATGACATTAGACCCTGCCGCTTCCTCACACAGACCACACCGCAGGTTTGACTTTAAATGGGGTTAGACAGGAACACTGGGCAGCACTCCAATTGGCATTGTTCGGCATCCTCTTCTTCTTGCGCAGATCGTTTTCCTTTTTGCCTGCCCCTACCCCCACTTTGTGACTTGCTGTCCGCCCCCACTGCGTCGACTTCGTGATGACGCGGCCCGCCGCAGCAAAAGGTTTCCGACTCCCGTTTTAGGGTATTGCCCGGGAAACACATATACTGTTTTGTGCACTGCAAGAATAAACGGTGCATTGCAGAAGAAATTCCGGACCCCCAGAATGTTGCACTAAGGGTTTGAATAAGATATGAAAGTTTTGTGACTACACATTACTATTAGAATCAAAAGTTATAAGCAAGTTTTGGAAACCGTCAATAAAAAAATGTTGGGTGGGGCCCACAAGTACACGAAGGTGAATTGAGACGAGTAGCATCTGCCGCCGACAACAGGCCTCGTTTTATCGTCTGGACATTCCAGATATTGTCTGGATGGGAGAGCCTTCAGCAATGTATAGAACACACAAACTGCGTTAACCTGGAGGCAGCCGAAGAGCCGCTCCACGACGTAGCATTCGCTGGAATAGTCCGAGGGAGGAGGCGCTCGAGACCAATATCGAGGCTAGACCGGGGACAATGCACAAATGTTTCCTGCCGGCAATCTACGCTTTTCACCACCCCCGTCGCAATATGGTGCATTGGAGGCCGTCGAAATTGCGGTGTCCACGGTCGAGCGTCGATTTTGGCCTCGATCGAGCAGCCTCCCTTGCTTCCACCGAGTGCCACTTCACCGAGCCATTCTTCGGCCGGCGCCAGGGTAGCCCCCCGCCCCCCCCCCCCCCCCCCCCCCCCCCCCCCCCCCCCCCGAGATAAGACGTGCGGGTTCCATTTACATTTGATGAGCAGTCTACCATTTGGCCAATTCGTCACAGGACGACTCGCACAACACTTCGTCGAAGAGGCCATTTCACAAAACGGAGGGCTGGTTCGAGTCTTGATACCAGCTGCCATGTGGCCTTTACTCCCGCCCTCATCAATTTCACGAATGCGTAAGCCAGATTCAAGGAGTCTGCTTTGGGTACCCCCCCCCCCCTGCAAAGGAGGAGGTCCTTCCGGATTACCCCGAAAGCCGACGTGAACTGCAGAGACAGACTGCGAAATGACCTCCTTTAGGAACACCTGGGAGGGCAGGCAAACGGAAGCATTTTGGACGCAAGGACCACATTCAAGAAGTGCTTTGAATGCGGTGCTTAGTATCAAAACTTTACAAAGTGTTACCGAGCGCCATTCGGTTTAAAAAAAAGGTAGTAAATAAGCGTGTGTGCAATGAAACACAAAGATGTCTTTAGGTGGTGCAGTGATTGTGCTCTTCGTTCATCCGTAGATTTCCGGTAAAATAAAAAGCGAGCAAAATGGGCTACTGGGGGAGAAACAAGGAAGCAAAGCGTCTGGTTGACGCTGCTACTCCTAGATGGCAGCACGTAAAACGCAGGAAAGCTTCTTTGAAACTCGCGACCCCCGACAAGACCTACCACGAAGAAGGCAGGTCACAAACTCGCTCCCTGACACATGAAATCTCGCCACCCCATCCCACCTCCCATCCAAGCCAGATGACTCTAGTCAAGCTAGCTTGGTCTCCTTTCCTCACCTTGGTTGTAGCGTTGGACTACTATTTCAGCTTCTCCGAGAAAACCCTAAAACATATCCAGCAAACCTGAGCGTGCGTTGTGCCATTGTTTCAACACACTGTGTGTTTTATCAGCCATATTCTACCACAAAAACCGTCGCAAACAATTTGTGTCGGTTCTTCGTGATGGACTAGACAGCGCGAGGTCAAGCGATTCCATTAAGCCGCGTATGTCACGAGGTCACGTCGTGCGACCTCGTGATGCAACGCACCGTGTGCTCGACTCATTCGCAACATATTTTGTGCTCCCCGGTCTTTCGGCACGATCGAGTTAGTGGAAAGTTTTTCTCTCTGCATAACACGTTTTCAACGAAGAAACCTATAGTCACTACATTTGAGCACCACTCAAATTCATGGCCCGAATTGAAGCATGCACGCGTTCGTGTCACCTCCTTCCTACCCTTCTCTGCTTCCGCTTCCCCAGATGCTCCGTCCTATATACTGAAGATGTCTCCTGCCATGAGACAAAAGATTTAATGGAACCGTTTATACCGTCGAGACGAGCCGTTTTTCTTCCTTTTAACTTTTACCGCGTGTTTACCTGGCTTTTGAGTTTTTTTTTTTTTTTCCTCGTCCACCAACTAGCACGAGTCTTATTAAACAAATTCGAACAATCGGCCCCTTAAATTCTGCATTCCACGTATTATAGGTAGGATTCCGCGTTACCGGTGTTTGTTTACTGAGGCGCTTATTTTTTCCCTCGGACTGGGTATTTTTGGGCGTCTATTTTGGGTACTGGACAGGCACGTGTGACCACTTTGAACCTTGAAAGAAGGAAGCAGGATGAGGGTTCACCAAGCCTCGCAAAGAGTTGGGTGCAGGCCGAGTTGCCAACGAACACCGAAGAAAGCTCGCGATAAATTTCTTTCCCAAGACCTCGTGTCTTTCTCTGACAGCTTTGATTCAGGGTTTTTTCTATTTTTGATACAACTGGCTCGGGGGTTCGGGGTTTACCGTTAGATACCGGAACCCTAATTATGAAACATTAGAGACAAAGGTCGTCGGCAACGTTTTGTACGACCGAAGGGCGCTCGGTAACGCCCCGTAGAGCGCCGCGTGAGAGCGCCCCTTGCGAGGGCTCAACTGGAAAGCAGCCGGTAGTGAGACGGGGTAGGGAAGCGAGGCTTCACTTGGCGGCCCAGTCGGTGTGCCCCGGCAGGCCGGAGGTGAGCCGCAGGGCGGAGGGGCGCCTCGCCGCCTCGTGGGCCGCCTTGGCCGAGTCCATGCCCAGGTAGGTGTGCGAACCTGCAAAGTGGTGGCCGCCGTTGGTGCGTGTCGCGGGGGGGCCAATTTTGGTCCTTTGTAAAAGCGAGCCTTCTCGGCAGACCTTTCCAGAAAATTCTGCAAGGCCTCTCGTCGACCCCAGGGGCGGTTTGCTCATCTCGCGGCTGCGGTTGCGGCCAACAGG